CCTATTTCTTCATTCATATTTCTCACTTTTGCAATGGGAACATCTATTCTAGTCCGTCTTGTTACATTTTGAAAGCACATAGCTTGCTTGATTTAACAGGTTCACAACTGGAGAGAAATTTGTCTCAGGATGAAATATACCTTGAGTCTCACCCATCTGATTTAGATACTTAAATGAGTCTCTGGACTTTAGATTTAAATTGATGCTGGGGTGAGTTAAGACTCTGGCGGTTTTGGGGATGGAATGAATGTATTTTGCATGTAAGAAGGACATAAATTTTGGAGGGTCAGGGGTGGAATGCTATGGGCTGAATATTTGTGTCTCCCCCAAATTCATACATTGCAATACTAACCCCCCAGGTGATTATAAGGTGGGGTGTTTGGGGAGGCGATTAGATCATGAGGGCAGAACCTTCCACAGGGATTAGTGCCCTCATAAAAGAGGCCCAAAGGAGCACATTTACCCTTTCTCCTAGGTGAAAACACAGAAAGAAGTCAGCAGTCTGCAACTCAGGAGAGGGCCCTCACAAGAATCTGTGACCAGGCTGGCACTCTGATTTTGGAAAATGTCTGTTGTTTATAAGCTACCCAGTCTATGATATTTTGTTATAGCAACTCAAATGGAATAAAACATACTCCTTCTCAACTCCCAAATGCTCCTTTAAGATGATTATTGTTTTGTTTGTTTTTTAGAACAGGGTATTGCTTTGTTGCTCAGGCTGAAGTGCAGTGGCATAATCACAGCTCACTGTAACCTCAAACTCCTGGGCTCAAGTGATCCACCTGCCTCAGCCTTCCTGAGTAGCTGGGACCACAGGCACGTGCAAACATACCTGGCTCATTTTTGTATTTCATTTTGTTAGAGATAGGATGTCACTATGTTGCCCAGGCTTAAAATGATCATTATTAATTGTATAATGCTCCTAGTCCCTTCCCAAGATGCCAATATATTGTTAAACTGTTTGACTCCCTCACAGGATAGTGCATTTATTACTTAAACCAAACTTCATCTATCCCAACTGTTGCCTGTCTTAAAAAAGTATTCTTCCTCCATAAGTTACACTTTATTTCTAATTATGGCCTTCATTTTTTTTTTTTATTTGAAGAAGCACTTGTTCAAACTTTTCCATATTTGTAATGACCTGTTTGCTGCTCATCATCCACAGGTCAACTGTCAGACAGAATATACTAACCTGGATGCATATTTCTTTTGCTACATTTCCTAAGACAACTGACTAATCCATCTATCTCATCATATCGATTCACTAATTCCTTCCCCTAAAACAAAGCACTGCACAGAAAACAGAAAATATAGCCTCCACATATATTGCTCCCGTGAATCAAAAGGCAAACTCTTTGCTTTGATCTGTACAGGGAAGATCTCTGGGACAGCTTCCAATGTGTCAGGGAGCAGAGCAAAGCATTCAGTGACTGACAATGGACACTAAGGAAACACAATACAAGTTAGATGCAGAACTCCTCCAACAGGTGACTTTGGCTCAAGGGCTCCCCACCAACCTGGCAGAACATTTCTTTGAACTGCACCATAGTCTGAGGTTCTCTCTATCCAATCCTTCCTTCCTTCCCTCCTTTCTCAGGTATCAGATTTGCACTGTGGTCTAGAAGACTCTTCCTACCTTCTGCTCCTTTGCCCACTATATCTTTTGCAAATCTAATCTTGTCTACTTCTCAGGAGACCCTAACTAATGATTTGACAACCTTTCAACATACACACCATTCTTGCACGCCAAAAAAACAAAGCAAAAACAAAAACAAAACACCCTGAAGATTACTTTCTAGAGCCATCTAAAGGTAATCAGTCCTGTGGCATTCTGCTTCCACTTATTCCCTCCATTTAGCTCTACCCTTCACCTCCAGCAAAAGAGACACGGAGCTAGAGTACACAGTGGAAAATGTGCTATATTCCTACTGGCATCCCAGCTAGCTCTCATAGCTGACAATAGGAATCTATGAACTAGAAGAATATATAAAAACATGGATAGATCTTAAAATAGCATGGAATAAAAAAGGATCAGAAAAAAATTTATAGCGTGATACCACTTATGAAAATTAAAAATAGACACACAAATAACACTGCCTGTTTTTCAAAGATAAATACATAACTAAAAGTATGTAAGAAACATTAAATATGGTTGGGATAAGGGTGGGGGCTGGATAAAAAAAACTGGAGAAAAAATAAGAGAACGCTCTTGTATAGACCGGTGATGAAGATGTGCTTCAACCTGAGAAATATAATCAACGTTATAAGCCTAAGGTCTAAGGGAGAGAAAGTAAAAGAGGAAGAGAGGAAAGACTTCTCCGACACAAAGAACCGGTGAGCTCTCCAAGGAATTAAGACTACCACCCTTGCTTAAATTTATTATCCTCAATTTGTTGCCTTACAGCTAAATACAAATGTATCTGAAACAGCCAAAATGCCTTCTTAAAATTCCATTCTGGCTGCCTTTTAAGAAAAGCTTGTGCGTTAATTACATATCAGCAAATCAGGGACAAAGGCTATTTAGCATTTTTAGATAGACCCAATAGAAATAGCATTCTGTTGGTCTAATTAAAACTTTACTTCAGAGCAACCCCTAACTTTTAATTGCATCTTAATACATATTCGCTGCTAGGCATCAATAACAACAGGGGCTCTGTTGATGACTTTATAAGCACCACATAATTATTTCTTCCAGTGCCAAAGTAAACCCTAAGTAGTGCTGCATTTGTGATTTTTATGATATATCAAATTTAAATGTGAAACAGTAAAACTTTACAGATAAAATCATTAGCTGGAAAGGACTCATTTACATAAGGATCAAATGTCTACACAAATATAAAAATTGAATTAGCATTTAAAACCTCCAGACTTGGTTCTCTGGAAGTAAAGGCACTATTAAAAGGGAGAATTGAAGTTAGATTTCTCCATAGTTCTCTACCAATAAGGATAGGGCTGTTTTGAAAAACAAATTTAACAATCTATTTAAAAGGTTATAATTAACAAATAACTATGTAATTCAAGATTTTCTTATTTGGGTCTGCAAAGTCACCTCTTTCGTTAAGTGATTCTTTATTTCAGGATATGATATAGTAACTTTGCTATAACTAGTGGTATAATATCTCTTTCCAATTGTTTTTAGCTTTAATACGCCTTTACCATAAATAAACAAATTTAAATTAATATGGCTTGGCTTTTGTCTAGGAGTATGATCAGAGGTGAATGAAATGAAGTCTCATTTCAATCAGATGATTACTTAATTTGCTTGACTCTTTAGTAGTTTCAATTTCCATCATTTTTTGTTCAGACATAAAACCTTATAATAAAACTACTTTAAAGTGACAAAAGGAGATTAACAAAAATGATCACTCTTTTTGCATTGCTTCTATGGCTTTTAACTGTAAGCATCTTTTGCATCAAATAACATTTTGAATATGTGAACAGCAGACGATTCTTTTAAGACTTACCCTGTGGACAAAGGCTTTCTTTTGGCAAGTCACCAATGGTTATTAAGTCTACAGTTACACAAGAACTCAGACTTAATTGCTGACCGGCCAAATCCTTGAACTTTACCTAGAATAATAATAATCTTAAAATTACTTGTTTATGTCATGTAAAGAAAACTGTTAGCTCTCTCCTAGTCTTTTACTGCTCAGGAAAATCCCACTAGATTTCTAAAAATATTCTTTGATAATGTCTATACTTTCATCCAAGAGCTGGACCCCTCGAAATAAGAAATAGTGTAGATAATACACTCAACTGGTTTCTGATCAAATTTCTATGTCTAAAATTGTAGAAATCTCAACTATTATGTTCTAACTCGTCTTTATGAAGAAAATTCTCCCAAAGCAGGTCACCTTCTTCAACTACATTTCAGAGAAGAAAATAGTAAAAGTAAAAACTATGAATCTGACTTTTCTGGCATTAGTTTGAAACTCCTAAGCCACAAATAATTTTAATTAGCTTATTTCTAATTATCTATTAATGACAGAAACAATGTTCTGTGAAATAAGAATGTAGAGGGAAAACCAGTTAATTTTTCTATGTTTATGTATCTTTACGAACGGTCTATGTTACAGATAAAGTTAACTGAATAAGGGTAAATATGCTGAAATTGTTGACAATTGTTAAATGAGAATATTTCTAAAATCTGAACTTTTTCTTGGGAAAGCAGTTCAGAATTACAGTCTATTTAATGAGGTGGCCATCTGGTGACAGAAAAGAGCACTACAGACAATATTTTGCATTAACTGAACATCACAACTATTCTACACAAACCGACTGAACCACATAAAAGAGAGCAACACTGTCCAAAAGAAACATAATTCAAGTCATACATGCAATTTAAAATTTTTCTAACACCCTCATTTTCAAAATAGAAACAATAATTTTAACAATATTTTTTATTTAACCCAAGGTATCAAAAATATTTCAACATATAATCAATATGAAGATTAATAACGAAAGAGTTTATTTTTTTCATATTAAGCCTTCAAATTACAATGCGTACCTTACAGTACATGTCAATTTGGACTAGCCACATTTCAAGCGATCGTGGGCCCCGCCAGTCTGTGGTTAGCGGCTTATCCTACTGGACAGCGCAGATCTAGAGAACGACACGAGACCTGCGGTTGCTTTGGTTTGCCTTTTACTAAGTTCATTTCTCAGCCTCTCTGCCCACTCTGAAAAGTCTCCCCTTTCCCCTCTTTTAATTCTACTTTATTTTGTAAATAGCTGTTGTCTCCTGAACATTTTGGAATGCTTAAAAGGCACTCAAAAGCCTGTCCGAGAAAGACTAGAAGACCCTTGGAAGGCCCCTCTCCTCTCCGGACCGCACTGGGCGTTCGTTTGCCGGCGCCGTCCTTCTACGCGGCTCGCCGGGCGCACAGCGACTTCCGGCTGCGGTCAGCCACCTTTGACCGCGGGAAGGATGCCGCGCTGGTGGTCGGGGCTCGTCTCGGCTGTCACGCCACCTTGTGACATCACAGCGCCACGCCCTCAGGGCTCAAGGTCAGAGAGGCTCCGGGTTTCCAGGACCCGAGAGCCAAAGATATTCAGTGAGAGAGAGCGAGACTGGAAGAGGCAAGGAATAGGTCTGCGCCACCTTGCCCATAACGCGTTGCTTTCAGTCACGTTCCGCGAACTGGCGAAAGCACGCGAAAAGATAAGCGCAGTTACACAGAAGCCTGCCAGGGAGTGGCTCCCGCTGTTTCCCCATGGAGCCCCAGCGGGGAGTCTTCCGGTTGGACCCCTGCTTCTGCTGATTGGTTGTAGGCCGCCCCCACGTGATGCAGACCCGGGTCGGCCTCCGCTTTCCCCGCCCCTTTTTTCCCCCTCCCCACCCGGAGGTCGCGGGAGGTGGAGAGCCGGTTACCGAGGCAACCGCCACAGGCAGTCTGTACACACCAGGCCTGGGGCGGGAGAGGGTTTCCTGCCTGCTGCTGCAAGACAGGGATTGGGAAGTCAGAGTGGACTCTGACTTGAATCGGATTGCCCTGGAATCCATCCTCTCTCTTGATAAGGTCAGAATCCGTCACCTGGTGGCCTTTGGGCGTACATCACCTGTAAGCAGGGCCCCGGGAGTCTTTGATCCCCTCTTTTTCCTTCCAAGCCATACCAAGAGGAAGACGCCAGTGAAGCAAAGTTGAGGTCAAGGGAACTCCGTAATGGTGCAATGGTGATGATAATGGTGAAAGACAGTGAGGTGGCGTTGTTGAGGCAGTCAGGGTACCAGAACAAAGTTCGAGAGAAGGAAAGGGAGGGTGGCCTACAGCCAGCTATGCAGCCTTTACTGCACCAGTTAAGGTTCCGGGCTGGGAGAACCAAATGCTCCCTGACCAAACCTGACACTGCTCGTCCAAAGAGTGTAGGGGGTTTATTTGGACCATCAGTGATAACTGATGGATTCTGATCCTTTTATACCCAAACGAGGAAATAATTTGACCCATACAGGACTTCTACTGGGCAGAAAAAAAAAAAAAGAGTTTTCTCAGAATAACACCCTAACCAACGCTCATGGCAGACAGAAACATGGTCCTTTATCATTGTACTCTGGTCATGGAGAACAATTATGTCTTTAAATTATACCATATGCCTGTGGCATGACAATTAACCCATTAAACAATTTTTTTTTAACACCTAGCATATGCCAGGCAGTGAAGTTGTGATAGGTTCATAGTTTCTGCCCTCAATGAACATGTAACCTAGTAGGGAAGAAAGGCCCGTAAACACTGCTTTACAGTGTGACAAGTGCTATACATGGAGTATGTGCAACCAGAATCACAAGAAAGGGAATGCTTATAATACTACCAGAGAGAATGAAAGTCTTCAGAGAGAAGAGTGTTGATTTAAATCTTTAGGGAAGTAGGGAGTATGCCATACAGCCAAGGAAAAAGGACATTTTAGGGAGAGGAAACAGCCCATGCCAAAGTACGGAAACATCCCATTCAGTTCCAGAGAACGATAGTTGTGGCCTGAACCTAGGGTCCTCTGTGGAGGTTGTGGTTGATGAGCATGTGAGGTAGGCAGGAGTCAGAGCATGGAAACCGTGAATAGCTTCCAAAGGGGTAAAGTATGAGCAGATTTACCTTTCAGGAGGCTGTCACAGTAGTGCAGAGGATGGACTTGAGGGAAGACAGACTATAGGGAGGACATCCAGTTAAGGTGAGGTGATGAGGGCCTGAACCAAGGCAGAAGCAATTGGAATGAGGAGAAGGAAAAAATTGTGGTCAGACTTTTAAGAGGTATGTGCAGAAGGATTTAATGAGTGAATGAACCTAGCGGGATAGAGTCAAAGATTGGTTGAGGATAATAGCTCAACCAATAGAAGAATGGTGGTGGTGTTTTTCAAGAGAAGGCATACATTAGGAGAAGGAGGCTGGTTGGAAAATATAATGAGTTCAGTTTCGAACACAGTGACACACTGAATTTGAGATGCCTTTGGCACATTCAGATGGCGCTTTTTCATGTGGGCAGTTAGATTTTTTTTCTTTTTTTTTGCACAGAAAAGAAGGATTTTTCACCATGAAGAAAATAATTGGTTTGAAAAGCACAAAGTAAGCTGGGTGCAGTGGCTCACACCTGTGATCCCAGCACTTTGGGAAGCCGAGGCAGGTGGATCACAAGGTCAGGAGTTCGAGATTAGCTTGGCCAATATGGTGAAACCCCGTCTCTACTAAAAATATAAAAATTAGCCAGGCGTGGTGGCACGTGCCTGTAGTCCCAGCTACTTGGGAGGCTGAGGCAGAAGAATCACTTGAACTCGGGAGGCAGAGGTTGGATTGAGCCAAGATTGTGCCACTGCACTCCAGCCTGGGCGACAGAGTAAGACTCTGCCTCAAAAAAAAAAAAAAAAAAAGGCACCAAGTGGCTTTGAAATAACAAGTAGAGAGAAGCCAAGGAGAAAAGTTGAACCAAAGAAGAAAACTTAAAGGAGAGAGTCATCAGCATTGTCAGATGCCATGTCAGGGTCAAGTTGAGAACTGAAACATGTCCACTGTCTTTGGCAATTAGAAGGTTATTGTTGACCTTGGTAAAAATATGCTGTAGTGTCTTGAGGTGTCCTCAGTCCAGACGGCAGTGAATACAGGACTGAATGCAGGTAGTGACGTGTTGCTAATGATTATCTAAAAGGTTTACCATAAAGGTATCTAAAAACAGCTATTTATAGAAGAACATAGGAGAGACTTTTTAATATAGGAAAGACCTAATATTTATATACAGAAATAAAAGAGATCCTTGAGAAGGAGATTTGGGGATAAATGAAAGAGGAAAATTTGACAGCAGTATTCTGAAAGAGACAGATAAGGACAGGATCAATACATAGGAAAAGGGATTTGTTTTGGACAAAAGGAAGAACACCTACTAAGACAGGAGTCAGAATGGAAAGAAAAATACATGTTTGAGGGGAAGGAAATAAGAAACACACATTTGGTAGCACCACTGTTCTCTATGAAAATGGGGTCAAGATCATCTATTGAGACAGAGAGAAAGACCTTGAAAAGAGTGGTGAAAGTTTAGAATAGTCAGTAGTGTCATGAATCTTGAGTCTCTAGTCCCACTCTCCTAGGAGAGGAAAATATAAAATACTTGTTGCTGAAGATCTAACTGAAGTTAGAGGTCATACATTTGTAGTGACTTCAACTCCATGCTGGTTAGGTGAAATTTTCCAGCAGCAATCCCAAGTGGAAAGATTAATCCAAGATATGCAGTTTGAGGTGTAAAAGCTATAGAAGTTCCTGGTGGCTTCTGGTTTTGTGGGGGAACTAGAGAAGACCTTTAGCCTCTTAAATGGGCCGGCCCTGAAAGAGCTTCAAAGAGCAGGAGAGTGGTTACAAGCTGGCCAACAGGACATTCACCTCTTGATGAATTCAGTAACTTCATCTGGAACCCTTGAGTCCATTTGTGACTGGAGAAAGCATACAAGACTTGTAAGTACCAGGCAGGTCTAGCATCTTTGCAATTCAGAAATAGTTATGCAACTTATAGAATTTGGGGTTTTTATAATTAAATTGTATTTTTCTAATTAGCTGTTAAATTAGAATAAGATTTTCTGCTAAATAAGGGCATTGATGAAGAGAAAATAAGTTGAAGTGAGAGGTAAGATTTGTATCCCAAATGGGCATATGTTTCTTCCAAGAAAAAGTAGTCTCCTTAAATAAATGGAGAGCTATACCTTGTTCTTGAGGATTACTCAAAACTGTAATATGGAAGTTCTCCCTACATTAATCTTTACAATGCAACCTCAATCAAAATCCCAACTGAATTTTTTAAGACTAAATACAAAATAATCATAAATTTTATTTGGAAAAAAATATGGAAGAATATCCAGGAAACTGCCAAAAAGGAACATGAGGTGGGAATTTTCAATATAAATCACAGTAATTAAAACAGATATGGCAGGGTGTGGTGGCTCACACCTCCCAGCACTTTAGGAAGCTGAGGTGGGCGGATCACGAGGTCAGGAAATGGAGACCATCCTGTCTAACACTGTGAAACCCCGTCTCTACTATAAATACAAAAAAAAATTAGCTGGGCGTGGTGGCAGGCACCTGTAGTCCCAGCTACTCGGGAGGCTGAGGCAGGAGAATGGCGTGAACCTGGAGGTGAAGCTAAGAGTGAACCATGATCGCGCCACTGCACTCCAGTCTGGGCGATAGAGCAAGACTCCGTCTTAAAAAACAAACAAACAAACAAACAAAAACAGATACTGGTGCAGGAATAGACAGAGCTAAGGAAAAACACAGATTAGAAAGTCCAATACAATTAGGTCCCAGTGTATGTGATCATTTCGAATATAACAAAGAGAATGATTTAATTCCTTCTACAATAGATATCCTGGACAAAGGCAAGATAACTTAGAACACCATTTGGTGAATTTAGAGCGTTGAAGGGAAGCCTTTGTCCTTTGTATCGTGGTGGGCAGCTAGGCTATCCTTTGGTAATCACAGACTTTAATCCAGTATATAAGGGTTTCTCTTCCCATGAGTAGAGGTGCTCTAAAACACTTTTTTAACTTGGTGCACCATTCAAATAAATCTGGAGAGGTAAGACTGTGGCCTGCATCTATATGTGGGCCTTTGATGGAGCTTCCAAATTCTTTCAGGTTGCTTTCTTGGCTGGCTTCTCTTGCAGCCTATGCTGTAATATCCTGAGGTTGTCCAAGAATGGAATAAAGACACAATTGCCAATAGGAAGCAGGGAAGGAATGCACAGCATTTCCTTCAATATAGAGACCCATCATCTGACCACTGTCCCCACTGCCACTACCACCACCCTACTCCAATCACCATCCTCTCCCACTTACATTATTACAACTGCCCATTAACTAGTCTCCCTGCTTTTGCTCCAAACCCTACAATCTATTTTAAACATAGTAGCCAGAGTGATCTTTTTAATACTTATGACAGTTCATGTTACTCTTCCACTCAAAATCTTCATATAGCTTTTCATCTTACCATAATAAAATCCAAAATCCTGGTCTACAAGATAGCACATGATTTGACCCTGAAATACCTCTTTGACCTCACATCCTACCATTATTTATTTCTCTCAATGTACTCCAGACACATAATTTTCCTTGCTATTCTGCAAATATGCCACGTATACTCTCACTGCCCCTCGCCCCAGCCTTTTTTTTTTTTTTTTTCCATTTGCTGTTTCCTTCGCCTGTATGCATTTTCTCTACATTCCCGCATGGCTCACACTCACACTCCCTTATATCCTTCATTTCTTTGCCCACATTCCACATTATCATCTGATAAGGTCTTGATCTTCTCTTTTCTCCCACCCCTGTCATTCTCTGTCTGGGGCTCTGTCTTATGCCTTCAGTATGAATATTAACAATGAGTGAATGAATGAACAGAGTCCAATGTATTAGGATAATTTACTGACTGTGTTTTTCTTTGTGGTGCTAGCTGGGGTCCCGTCCCTCCTTCTTGACTCAGTGTCTTAGTCCATTTTGTGCTGCTATAATAAAATACCTGAAACTGGGCAATTTAAAAACAACACAAATTTATTTCTCACAATTCTAGAGGCTAGAAAGTCCAATATCAAGGCATTAGCATCTGGTGTCTGCTTCTAAGATGATGTCTTGAAGTCTGCCTCTTCTGGAGGGAAGGAACAGTATGTACTCACATGGCCAAGTCAGAAGGGCAAAAAAGGGATGAACTTTCTCCATCAAGCCCTTTAAATGGGCAGCTAATGGGCACCTAATGCCATTTGGAAGGGTAGGAACCCTCATGACCAAATTACCTCTTAAGGGCCCACCTCTTAATACTATCATATTGGCAACACCTGAAGTTTGAAGGGGACACATTTAAACCATAGCATTCATCATGGTAGGGCAATGTCCTTAATTTACAAAGCATGAGTACAAATACAGATTGTGTGCAATTTTCTGGTACATTTCTCAAACTCCTTTGATTTGGTCCCTTATGTATAATACACAGCTACCCCTTTCCCAACCACTTCTGCTCTCAATTTGAAGATTTTTAAGAATCGTTTTGTGAAACTTCTTTCCCTGGTACCTTAAATTTTGGTCTGTAATATGGTTTGGCTGTGCCCCCACCCAAAATTTCATCTTAAATTGTAATAATCCCCACATTTCAAGGGCGAGACTAGGGAGAGATAATTGAATCATGGGGCACTTTCCCCCATGAGTTCTTGTGATAGTGAATTCTCACAAGATCTCATGGTTCTACAAGGGGCTTCCCCCTTCACTCAGCTCTCATCCCGCCTCTTGCTGCCTTGTGAAGAAGGGTGGTTTGCTTCCCCTTCTGCCATAATTATAAGTTTCCTGAGGCCTCCCCAGCCATGTGAAACTGTGGGTCAATTAAACCTCTTTCCTTTATAAATTACCCGGCCTCGGGCATGTCTTTATTAGCAGTGTGAGAACAGACTCTGGTTTGTGTTGATGGGCTTTTTTTCTCAATCTGATGTTGTCTGTGTCATTTTTAAAGACCTTTCTCAATATTTCTGGCAATCATTGCTCTCTGTAGCACTGCTATATTCTTTTCTTGTTTTCATATTTCTGTAGTCATTCTAGTGGGATTTGGGGAGGGAAGATAGGTCAATACACGGACTCAAATCATCATCTGTTTTTCTTAACATTTTAATTTATGTATATGCCAGCACATGTACATAATTTTGTATAAATGAATAAAAATGAGCATATAAATGCTTTTAAAATAAAAATTTAGGTAGAATTTCATTAAAGTATAACATACATACAGAAATCACACACATCTTAGATATCTAACTTTATTTTCAAATTGAACATAACCAGCACCTAGATCAAAAAATACATCATTATGAGCACTCTAGAAGCCCCTCTTTTGCCTCCTCTTAGTTGCTCCTCCCTGAAAGGTAGCCAATATCCTAACTTCTAATACCATAGTTTGCTTATCTTACATGAATTGAGTCATACAGTATTACTCATTGCGTGTCTCTTCTTTTGTTCAGCATTTGTTTACGTGAAACTCACTCATGTTGCAAATAACAATAATTGTTTGTTTCTCATTCCACTTTTAGGTAGAAATCTCAAAGAAATCTGTAGCTATGACCTGTATGACAAAATGTTCAGAGAAGCACTATTTAACCCCCAACTGGAAACAGTCCAAATGTGTACCCATGGTAGAAATAATAAATGTCTGTACACTCAAACTAGGCAATTCTAAACATGCTTTTTAAAAAGTATCATTTTTTCTTTTCCATTTTTGCCTGGATCTATCCCCATCCAGCTTTACATTTATATTCTAGCCACAACAACTTTCACCTGCATCTAAGGAAACTCATATTAACAACTTAGTATATATCTTTCCATATTTTCTCCTGACAATAATTATACACATACATGCATTTACATATATACACACATGCCTATGGGGGAGTTGCTGTTGTAAAGAAAGGGGTTATACTGTATACCATTATATACATCTCTCCTTGTCAGGTCATTATATTAAAAGCAGGATTCTTATATTTTTTAGATAGTATATATCTGGAATAATATTCAGAAAATATTACAAATTATGAAAGTTGGATTAAGTTTTATTGAAGCTACTTGAGTATTAATTGGTTCATATTCTCTAGAATGAAGGAGAAGTTGGAGTATTTATGTAAATAAGCATTTATTACTATGCCAAATATGTTGCTAAGCCCTATGGATTCTTCTCTTTGCAGTCTAAGTATATTTAGAGAACTGTGTTCACTTTTAGACACACAGTGTAATACAAAGGACAACCAGAGCCTGTTCAAATGAGAGAAACATGAGTATATAGTGAGAGAACTAACAACTTCAACTGTGAGTAAGGTAAGAGTGTAGATGAGAGATGACCATTTTCTTCAAGTATTGAAGGCTCATCGTGTGGAAAAAAATTTATACCAAGGAGGGATACTGACAACAAAAGGGAAGGAATTATGGAAAGAGAGATTTAAAATTAAAATAAAAAATAACATCCTAACAGAAAACCCCCTCAGAGTTTATACAGATACTTGGTAATGTACTATGTGAAGATTTCAAACTACAGTTGGGTGGTTCAACCTTAGTAGCTTTAAGGTCAATTTCAACTTTGAATGACAATGACTTTAATATTTATTTCATTTTTTCATTTTCCTTAACAGTTATAATGTTATGATCACTATTTTTAACGGAAGATGATTGAAAGTGAAAATCTAAACCAAGAAGAAATAATTAAAGAACTGGTGAGTCAAAGTCAAATTTCTTTTTATAACATTTGCAGTAATAGAAAATGGAAAGTTTTTATGCTCCTTTCTAGAGCTGGAAGGGTTACTTACTGATTTCCTCTACCTAGTGACTTTTGGAAGCAGAGAATAATCATATATGTGATATAACTTTCTCTCGTGAGATTACAAAAATGGCATCAGTGCAGTTGACAATTTATAATTTCTAATGGTAAAAGTAATCTTTTGATTATTTAAAACAGGTAATGACCAAATTTCTTTCCTTTAAAACAGTGTTTGTGCAATGGCTTATCTTATGAGATGGTTGGACAAGAAGGATCAGATACATCAAAGTTGGAGATGTTTTTCTTAGGGTATCCTCGTATAGTCGGATTATCATTATTTCCTAATTTAACTAGTCTTACCATTGTTGCTCAAGATATAAAAGAAATTTCAGGGTTAGAGCCTTGTTTACAACTTAAAGAACTTTGGATTGCTGAGTGCTGCATAGAGGTAAGTGTAAACATAAAACCTTACACAGAGTGTTTTATTCTGAATTCTTTGGCTTTAGAAAAATAATTCATTGAAGTATATGCATAAGGCATGGGTTAAGACAGATAATGAGCAAAGGATAGAAATTGATTTGTACAAAGGAAAAAATAAAAATGAGGAATTAAAACATAAACATATTCTCCTTTTTAGTAATCAAAGCAAATCAAATCAAAACAGCAAGTTGCTGGTACAAAACAGACACATAGACCAATGGAACAGAATAAAGAACCCAGAAATAAGACCACACACCTACAACTATCTGATCTTTGACAAAGATGACAAAAACAAGCAATGGGAAAAGGATCATCTATTCAATATATGGTGCTGGGATAACTGGATAGCCATATACAGAAGATTGAAACTGTACTTCTTCCTTATACCATATACAAAATTAAACTCAAGATGCATTAAGGACTTAAATGTAAAACCCAATATAAAAATGCTGGAACACCACCTAGGCAATATCATTCTGGACATAAGAACAGGCAAAGATTTCATGATGACACCAAAAGCAATTGCAACAAAAGCAAAAATGGACAAATGGGATCTAATTAAACTAAAGAGCTTCTGCAGAGCAAAAGAAACTATCAACAGAGTAAACAGACAGTCTACAGAATGGGAGAAAATTTTTGCAAACTGTGCATCTGACAAAGGTCTAATACCCAGCCTCTACAAGGAACCTAAACAAATTTACAAGAAAAAAACAAACAACCCCATTAAAAAGTGGGCAAAGGACATGAACAGACGCTTTGCAAAAGAAGACATACATGTGGCTAACAAGCATAAGAAAAAAAGTTTAAAATAACTGATCATTAGAGAAATGCAAATCAAAATCACGGTGAGATACTATCTCACACTAAGAATGGCTATTACTAAAAAGTCAAAAAAATAACATGCTGGCAAGGTTGTGGAGAAAAAGGAATGCTTATACAATATTAGAAGTGTAAATTAGTTCAACCATTGTGGAAAACAGTGTGATGATTCTTCAAAGACCTAAAAACAGAAATACCATTCAACCCAGCAATTCCATTACTGGGTATATAACCAAAGTAATATAAACAATTCTGTCATAAACACAAATGAACGTGTATGTTCATTACAGCAGTATTCACTGGCAAAGACATGGAATCAACCTAAATGCCCATCAGTAGTAGACTGGATAAAGAAACTGTGCTATGTATACACCATGGAATACCATGCAGCCATAAAAAAGAATAAGATAATGTCTTTTGCAGGAACATGGATGGAGCTGGAGGCCATTGTCCTTAGCAAACTAACACAGGAACAGAAAACCAAATACCACCTGTTCTCACTTAGAAGTGGGAGCTAAATGATGATAACGTATGGACACATTAAGGGGAACAACAGACTCTGGGGCCTACTGAAGGTGGAGGGTGGGAGAAGGATCAGGAAAAATAACTAACGGGTACTATGCTTAATACCTGGGTGACAAAGTAATCTGTACAACAAACCCCCATGACAGAAATTTACCTAAATAACAAACCTGCACGTGCACCCCTGAACTTAAAATAAAAGTTCAATAAGTAAATAAATTGATTTGTGCAAAGGAAAAGCAGAAATAAGGAATTAAAACATAAACATATTCTACTTTTTAGTAATCAAATCAAATCATAGCCAGTATTACTTAGTAATAAAATTGGTCAACTTAGACACTGTTGGTTGTGTTGAAATTATAACATCTATTTTGAAAAGAAATATTGCAAAACATCAAGAGCCATCACAGAAATGTACGGGGCATACGTTTTGACTTAGAAGTCCCTACTCTAAGATTTTATCCTAGAAAAGTAACTCAATAGCAGAAAACAACCATATGCATGAAGCTACTTGTTGCAGCATTATTTATAACTAAAAACTTGAAACATAAATATGCTATACATCAGGTAATTTTTCAGACAATTATAAACTTAATGAAATATTCCATGATTATTAAATATAATTTGAAGGATTATGAAAACATTTTAGTCTTAATTTAAAAAGAGTCCCACAAAATTGTATGTGCATTAGGATTATAATGTGCTTACATCCATTACTGGGTATATACCCAAAGGATTATAAATCATGCTGTTATAAAGACACATGCACACGTATGTTTATTGTGGCACTATTCACAATAGCAAAGATTTGGAATCAACCCAAATGTCTATCAGTGACAGACTGGATTAAGAAAATGTGGCACATATACACCATGGAATACTATGCAGCCATAAGAAAGGATGAGTTTGTGTCCTTTGTAGGGACATGGATGCGGCTGGAGACCATCATTCTTAGCAAACTATCACAAGAACAGAAAACCAAACACCGCATGTTGTCACTCATAGGTGGGAACTGAACAATGAGATCACTTGGACTCGGGAAGGGGAACATCACACACCGGGGCCTATCATGGGGAGGGGGGAGGGAGGAGGGATTGCATTGGGAGTTATACCTGATGTAAATGACGAGTTGATGGGTGCTGACGAGTTGATGGGTGCAGCACACCAACATAGCACAAGTATACATATGTAACAAACCTGCACATTATGCACATGTACCCTAGAACTTAAAGTATAATAATAATAATAAATAAATTTAAAAAAACCATAACCATATAATCATAATCATTTATATATGATTATAATCATAACCATATAGAAATATATGATTATATATGATAATTATAATCATAACCATATATAAATAGATATAGAGTTGATTAAAATTTAAAGAGAACATGCAAAATTGAAAATAGTTGTATTTAAGTGGAAAACATGGAATATATTTTTTTCTTTTAAAACAGTTCATTTTGCTGGATGTTGATTTTGTAATAAAATATGATATTTAAAAGAAAATATACTTAGAAACCTACTTTATTGGAAGGATTAATAGCAAAACATAAACTAACACTATTCAGTCTCCTTTACAGAAAATTGAAGGTCTTCAGGAATGTAGAAATTTGGAAAAACTATATTTATATTTTAATAAAATTTCCAAAATAGAAAATTTAGAGAAATTAATCAAATTGAAGGTTCTTTGGCTGAACTACAATACAATTAAAAATATTGAGGTAAGATAATAATTTCAATTATCTATATGTAAAACCAATTACTACAGTAGAGTTTAAACCGCAATGTTCAAGATCATATTGTGGTTAAAGGCCAAACTATTCATGACTAGTACAATTATTGTTGTCAAAAAGAACTAACATGTATATAGCATTTTATAAGGTACAGAGGATATTGTATACATTACTTTCTTTACTCTTTACAAGCCTAAAAGGTAAGGCATTGTTATTCTGTCTTTGAAGGTTAAAAAAAAAAAGAGGTTTAGAGAAGTTACATAACTTGCCTAAGATTATAAATATACTCTGTGTGATATATTCTTTTCCTCCTACTCCTCCTTTTTTTCCTCTCTACTCCGCTTCCTGTTCCCTCCTCCAATAATTCTAAGTTCCAGTATAGAGAACAAAGGTGGCTTCTTGGAGGCACTCATTTCCTTCTGTGCTTGTGATGCACAAAGTACCCTGTGCTCGGAGCACCTGGAGAACTAACCAGATTAATCAGAGATGATTTGAAAATGTTAATTTTAATTATTTGTTCTAAATTATATGTTGTCTAAATTTTTAGGGTTTGCAAACTTTGAAGAATTTAAAAGATCTCAACCTTGCTGGAAATCTAATAAATAGCATTGGTATGTACTATTTCATTTGGAATCTGAGATAATGCTATAATCATTTTTTATCAATATAAAAAGTATATGCTTAGATTTTTTTTTCTTTTAGGCTTTTTTCTGTGATATATTTGCAAAGCATATTGAAACCTGTGAAAATATTACTCATTAATCAGTGATTACTAATTATACAATGGTATCATCAGTCTGTTTATATGCAAGAAATGATGGCTACATACAACTCAATAGTATGACAGAATATAAACAGAAGGTAAAATAATAAATTTAATTCTTTTCATCTTATTTTTTAAAGGCCGATGTCTTGACTCCAATGAACAACTGGAAAGATTAAACCTTTCTGGTAACCAAGTATGTTCTTTCAAGGTATGTTTAAGTGGAATAATTTTTACTTATCATCCTGAATCATGAACCATTGTGTTGCAGAAACTGTACTAAAAAGTCCCCCATTAAGGAATAAGTTCATTATTTTGGGCTGATGCTCCAGGAAATTTGAAAGTCATCTGACCACATTGGCCTTAATGATCTGACACTATTGAAACCCAACAAATAACTATTTACCTGGTTCTTAGGATACCATTTTCTCTTAGTTTTCTTCCAGTCTTTCTGGCTACATCTCTTCAGTTTCTGTTCTTTCATCCTCTCCTAGCATGTAAGATATGGACTTCCCTTGGTCAGTACTGACATCTTTTCTCATTTCTGTCTGCATTTATTCTCTAGTCTCATCATGCCTTAAGACTTTAAATACCCTTTGTCTACTGATTACTCTAAACTAGTACCTTTACTTTCCTTGACAGCTCTCCAGAACTGTACACATATCTTAATGCAAACTAATTTTTCCTCTACCAGACCTTCTCCTGCAGTCTTCCTCACCTCTCTAAATGGAGTTTCCATTCTTCCAGTAACTTAAGCCAAAATCCTTATAGTCATTTTTGACTCTTCTTATTCCTTCATACCCTCATCCTATCCATCAGCAAGTACAATCGGGTGCACCTTCAGAATATGTCCAGAGTCTGATCACTTCTTACCACCTGCATCACTACCAGGCTGATTCAAGACACTATGATCTCTAACCTGCATTAATGGAAAAGCTTCCTAACAATTTTCCTGTTTGTCCTTTCCCTACTATAGATCTGTTCTCCACACAGAAGCCTGATGGAACCTTTAAAAATCTGTCAGATAAAAATCACCCTTCTGCTTAAAACCTTCCCTTGGCTTCTCATCTCTTTCAGAGTAGAAGACATTTCTTACAATGGGCCATAAGACTACCTAATCTAGCCACCCCACCACCCCCAACCTGTCGCTTTGACTACAGCGTCTACCACTCTCTCCTTCGTTTGTCCAGTTTTAGCCACACTAGTCTGAATATACCTAGCACACAGTAATCTTAGGGCCTTTGCACTTGCTGGAATTTTCTTTCCTCATATACCTGCATGGCTCATTTCCTCGTTTATTTCAGGTCTTTGTCAAAATATTATGTTCTAAGTGACACCTTTCCTTCCCAATTTAGGTGTAATAGGAAAACCCTCACAACCCTCCCCAACCTGCAGCACTCACTATCACTGTGCCACTGTTTTGTTTTTCCTCTTGGCACATCCCTTACTAGAATACCAGCTCTCTGAGTACAGGAACTTTGCCTGTTCTCTTCATTGCTATATCCACAATCCTTAACATAGTGTTGGACATGTAGTAAATCTCAATAAACATTTGTCAAGAACATGAATGAAAGAGAAACAACCAAATAAAGGGACTTAATATTTATCACATATAATGTTGGTTAAAAGGTGACATTTGTAATTTTGACAGTGTAAGATTGAAGGTGCATATTCGAACACATCCTCTAGAAAATATTGAAGAAAGGTAAATTTACGATAGAAATGACTTTGAGTTCATAAGTATTAAAGTAGGCATTATTCTACTCAGGCAAAAATATAAAAATACCAAAAAGCTATAGAATGAGGCAGATTAAGTCCCTTAAAAAGATATGTAAACAAAATTCTATTAGTCAAATTCAAGAGGAAATATTTGATAAGAACTTTGAAGTGTCAACAGAATTTGAACAAGCATTGGTGGGAGGATCTTCTGGGTAGTAGGGCGTGGGCATTCTAAGAAGGGGAAAACAATATGTACAAACACAGAGAAGTGAGAAATCAAGGGGTATATTTGAATAACACCAGCATTGTCATTTGACTGGAATATAGAGTATATATAGCAATATTGGAAGTTAACTAGAAAGGTCAATTGGGTCTCGAATATAGACTGTATTTTATAGACAACAGAGAGCTGTAAAATTTTTGAGCAAGAAAGTGATATGATCAGAAATGTTCTTTAGGGATAGTGATCTGGAGTTAGTGTTTATTGACTTGGAACAGCTAGAAGAAGAAAACCCAGTCAGGAGATTTCAGGAATAATCTAAATGAGAGATTGTGAGACTACGAATTGGAGTGTTAAGAGAAAAAAGAAGAAAAGAAGAAGAAGAGAAGGAGGAGGAAAGACGAGGAAGAAATAGATGCAAGAGACATTATGGTTGTTGAATTTGCAGAATTTCACAGCTAGTAGAATGTGAAGTGCTAGAGAGTCCAAAATGAATCTGTGATTACAGTTCTTAGCAAGCTCAAAAAATATACAAATCAGAAAAATAATGGCTAGTTTTGTGGGGGTGAGGGGAAGGGAATGTGTCTGGTTCTGGATATGTTGAGTTTAGAGTACTAGTGGGGCCCTCCAGGTGAAGATCTGCACACACAACACTGAGAAATGGGTAAAGAGCAGTCAATACCTTACAATCTTGGCATAACAAGCAAGAGTGTGAAGCAATGCTTAGGGCCATGGCAAATTGTCTCTACCAACATTGAGGCCATCAGATAGGAGATCAGATTAAACATGTGGAAAATAAGCCATGATAGAAACCAGAGACACTCAGAGGGTGGTAACAGTTGTGACAGGGACAGGCAGTAAGATAGATAACAGGATTGTGTGTGTGTGTGCGCGTGCATGCATGAACACACATGCACACGTGTATCTTTCCCCTTCTAGTTCTGCCAGTTTAAGATACTATACTAAATCTTTAAATCATACTTACTATATGGAAATTCTAATTTTCAGCCTGATAAACACATCATAAAATTAAAACAAACACAAAAAAACCTTTGAAATAATTCTTACTTTGAAAAGAGCTCTTTTAAATCAATTAGAAACAAATAAGATACCCAGTAGAATAAAGGATAAGTGAGCAGATAATTCATAGAATTGAACTCCACATGACTAGTAGATTCATAAAATAATTTTCAATCCTACTAAGAGTGAATAAAATGAAAAATAAAACGTGATATAAAGCTGGACATAGTGGCTCATGCCTGTAATCCTATCACTTTGAGAGGCCAAGGCAGGCGGATCGCTTGAGGTCAGGAGTTCGAGACCAGTCTGGCCAACATGGTGAAACCTTGTTTCTACTAAAAATCCAAAAAAAAAAAAAAAAAAAAAAAAAAAAAAAAAAAAAGCCAGGTGTGGTGGTGGGCGCCTGTAATCCCAGGTCACTCAGGAGGCTGGAGCAGGAGAATCTCTTGAACCTGGGAGGCAGAGGTTGCAGTGAGCTGAAATTGCACCATTGCACTACAACCTGGGTAACTTGCACCATTGCACTACAGCCTGGGTAACAGAGCGAGACTAGGTTTCAAAAAAAAAAAGAAGATATAATTGTAATTGATAATATTTTATATAGTCAACATTTGATAAACATGATACTCTGTGTTAGAAAGATTAGGATAAGATGGGCATTTATATGACATTGGTAATCATTTAAAATGATAGAACTTTTCTAGAAAGCATTTAGATAATGTGTACCAAGTCCTTTAAACAGGCTTCTATCCTTTAATCTATCAATTCCTCTTTTAGGAATCTATTCCAAGAAAATAATGTGAAATGTGGATAAAGCTTTTATACTTAAAATAGGCTAAAATTCCAGAAGAGATCAGAGAGAGCTATGAATGTTAAATTCAGAGTGCTGTGGGAACATATAAAAGGGAGACCTAGCCTTGTTTGGGATATCAGGACAAGACACCCTTGAGGAGCTAATGTTCCAGCTAATGATATCAGACGTGAGTAGCAGTTGCCCAGGCAAAGACCCTTCCAGGCAAAAGTTAAAGCATGTGTGAAGGCTCAAGGTGGTTGAAAGGGGTATGGCAGATTCTATGAACTAGAAATCCTCTGTGACTGGAACACAGCAAGGGAAGCAAATATGACATAAGGCTGAAGAAGATAAGTGCAGGATTCTGGGAAAATAAGGCATTGCCCTGCCAAGAAACTATAGGGAAGTTTATCTTACCTGGCTAGCCATGGCACCCTTGTGGTGGTTATAAGCCGTGGCTGCATAGGCAGAAAGACCTTTCAGGTCTAGCTCTGCCTCACACTAGAGGCAGCATAATACAGTGGAACATGAAGTTTAGGTGAAATAACAATGTAAAGTACCCAAATAGTGACCAGCACATAGTAAGGACTCAACAGATCCATTGTTCTTATTATTTTATTACCATTACTTTAATTACACTGATGTGCTGTATTTCAGTATCTTTATTTTAAAAATGGTGATAACAGGATTATTATAAAAATTCATTGTGTGTCATAATGTGTAAAAAGGCTTTTTATGGCATTATGACTGTCATGAAAACATTGAACCTGATTCACAGGAGCTTTTACTATCTTCATATTAGAAATGTTCCTGGAACACTATTATCTTAGATTTTTATCTCTAACCTTTCCTCCTACTCTAAGAAGATAACTATCCTATCCTGGTGGTGACTGAATAAATTCTGTGCCCACCTTCCAACCATACCAGGCACCAGAGCACTAATTTTCAGTGAGACTTTGTGCCTTCATGGACTCCAGTGTCATCTGAATTTGGCATGTAGTTGGGGGATTTCTGTGTAGGAATTCAGAGTTTATACCCACCATCTACCAGCTCATTTATACCCACCATCTACTATGGTCAAATGAAATGTAGCAACCCAGTAATCAAAGGCTGCCAAATGGTTTACCTTCTTGCCCCTGCAGAATTTGACCAAATAAATCTCTGAACAGCTCTGTCCATAAATTTTCCTTTTAGAGCAACTCTGCTTAGTCCTCCTCCCCACATAGGCTCAGCCCAAGCCTCAGGTCAGACCAGTGAGCCACATTCTCACTTGTCCAGAGAGAGTTTGGAAATATATTAACTACCTCAACCTGTATTACTCTTGTTTCCAGCAACCTGACTTCACTATTCTCTTTTCCATTCCCTTTTTACTGTAACTTTAGAACTAATGCTTCCTGGTTCTTCCTTTGGATTTCCCTTAACCCTGATTCTGATTTTTCTAGCTAGAATTGCATCCTTTCACGTTTGACCCCACCACAGTACGCTCCTACCTCAGGCACCATCCTGGTAATGAGAAAGTATGAGGATATCCTCAAAGTTGGTTGAAAGTAATCAATTTACTTTACATATTTATTTAGTGCCTGCTGTGTTCTGAGTGCTGAGTGTTGGGAATACAATGTTAAACAAGACACAAACCGTGTTCTCCACAAGTTTATTGCAGGGATAGCAAACGTTTTCTGTAATGACAACAAAAAAAAAGCCAAATAGAAAGTATTTCAGGCTCTGTGGGTCACATGTGGCCTCTACTGCATATTCTTCTTCTTTTTCAACACTTAAAAATGTAAATAACATTCTTTTTTTGCAGATTGGGGGCCAAAGCCCATATAGACCCTTGGCTTATAGATACAAGCAATTGGCAATAGGGTATGATAAAGTCCATACCAAAACTAAGCTCAGTAGCTAAAAGAGCTCTTAGGAGGAACATCTATCCCAACATTGGGGGATGAAACAAGGCTCCCAGGGAATATGACACTGGGGTTGGGCCCTGACAGATTAAAAGGTGAAACTGGGGTGAAGTTCAGGCCACTCAAAAGGAGCAGCATGAGTAAAGGTCTAAGGACAAGATAGGGCTTGGCACATTCCAAAACTTCAACTGGTTCAATATGACTAAATCATAAAATATTAGGGTTTAAACAGGAAGAGGCAGGATGGAAGAGTTAATCAAGAGCCAGATGACAAATAAAGGAAAGTATAAATAATGACTTAAACATCAGGAAAAAATATGTTAAGGAGTAACATTGGTCTGAGAGTGCATATCAATCCTTCCTCATCCATAGGTTGTGAGAGAACTGAGGCCCTCAAGGAAAGTTAGACTTTAGTTGACCATAATAGGTAAAACAGGTACATAATGGAAAAAACAAAACAAAAAAACCCCCCAAAATCAGGAATTCCATGATGATTGTTTGTAATGAACAGGGGATCCCATAGCCTTCAATGAGTAGAGCAGATCTGGAAGCAGGGAGGATGAACAGGAGTGTTTCTAGGTGATAAGTATAGGAAATAGGAGTGAAGAAAGCAGAGACCTACAGGTATCCTGGGGGCAATTAGCAAGAGGGGCCGTGTAGGGGAGGCAACATATTAATGAACAAATGTGCTCGCATCACTGGCTTCAATGTTCCAGCTGGAATACATGATTTAGTAAATATTTAAAAGGTATAGTGGTATAGCGTATTGTTTAATTATTGTTGCTATTTTCTTCGGGAATTTAGCTTGTTTTTCAATAGAGAGAAACATTTTAGGCATCTAAATCACTTTAATGTATTTAAGCACATAATTAGAATGCATTAGAGTATGGCTGATCTTAAGTGTTCAAATACTGCCTTTAGAAATGACAGTCACAATTAATTGAACATTATCTTTGCTGGTGTTTTAGGAGCTCACGAACTTAACCAGGCTGCCTTGCTTAAAGGATTTATGTCTGAATGATCCTCAATATAAAACCAATCCAGTTTGTCTTCTGTGTAATTATTCCACACATGTATTATATCATTTGCCTTGCCTTCAAAGATTTGACACATTGGATGTGTCAGCAAAGCAAATCAAGGAACTGGCAGATGTAAGTACATCCGTAATCAGGCATCTGTGATTTCTGTTTTATTAGTTAGTTTATTAGTTAGGCTTCTTTCTGGCCATGTCCACATATGGTAGGTAGGATTATCAGTTCAGTTCTTGTTGCCAAGTCTACTTTTGCCCTAGTGAACTGGATATTACACATAAAAGTATATAAATAATAATATTAATACTAGAATCTTAATTTTGATGACAGTACTGGAAGGTGAAATAATGAAGTAATATTGCTTCTAATCTATACAAAACAAGAAGGAAATTGAAAAAAATAAGTGTCAAAAATAATTAGACTAGTGCCATGTATATATAAATTAAAGCTTAAATAACAGAAATGTAACAACCACTTCTCCTTTGGAATATTACATATCAAAATTAGAAAATATCTATGGTTTATGGTAGTCGACCAAGGATTAGGTAGATTTTAATCTAATTAAAGATAGTTTGTGATTATCTGAAAGTTTAAGTAGCTGAGGACATCAGGGGAAGAGAAGTAACAGATGAAGACAGGAGTGGTGGAGGCCAGATTATGTGAGACTGTAGACTGTTGTAAGGACTTTGGTCTTTATTTTGAGTGAGATGGGATCCACTGGAAAATTCTGATCAGAGGTGGGACTAAGATGACTTATGGTTTAAAGGGATCCTTTTGAATAATGTATTAAGAATAGACAATTAGAGGGAGAAAGTTGAAAGCAGAGAGACCAGTTAGGAGATTATTCCAGTAACTTAGATGAGCAATGTGGATGGTTCAATGCATGGTGTTCACAGAGAAAGTGGTAAGAAGTTGGATTCTGGTAGCAGTTACAAGATGGAACCTATCTGGGTTTACTGATGGATTGGATATTAAGTACAGAGGAAAGAAGTAGAGAATAATTCCAAGATATTGACTGGAGCAATTCAAAGAGTAAGTTGCTATTTGACGACATGAGGAAGAGTATGGGAGGAGTAGGGGAGGAGTAGGTTTAGAAGGAAAAATCATTATTTTAGAATCATGATAATTTTAGGCATGTAAAGTTTGAACAATTTTTTGAATATCCTAAGGGGACATGCTCAGTAAGTAGTTGGATATCCATATGAGTCTCCTATGTGGGAGAGTTCCCCAGATTGGGGGTATAAATTAAAATATGAGAACTGAAAGCAGAAAGTTGGTACTTAAAGCTGTGGACTGGATGAGTCACCAAGGGAATGGTGTGGAAGAGAAAGTGTGTCACTTGGGTGCTAAATGTTGGGTAGATGAGAAGGAACCTACAGAGGAGACTGAAAAGGAGAACTAAGAGAGGCAGGTTCTTCTGACATTCTGACTGAGATTCTCATACATTTGGTTCAGTCTTGTAAATGTCAGGAGTAGCATAAAGAACAACAACAAAAAAGGAATTGTTAGACAGTTTCTAACATCTTAAATTAAGTAATTATATTTCATTTTCTTATTGTAAAATATTTACCCTCCCTTTACCTTTTAAGGCACAAATAAGATATGTACTATAGTCCAACTTTAGATTCAGACCAAAATGATTTTCAAATTCAAAGTATTTTTAATTTATGGATCGATACAGATTTCTAAAATGCTTTTTTCCTTACTATGCATAAGAAGACAAGTTGTGGCAGTTCTTTGTGATAAATTCTTGAACAGAGTGCTATTGATTCTTCAGATTTTCACCTATGACTGTGACCTAGTTTGTGTAAACTACAAGTGGCAGGTAAAGTCAGAACCTACCAGGAGGACCACCAAAGAGTTAGTGTGAGACAGAGGGAAGAACATATGGGTTCAAATCCGAAGACTTGGATTCAAGCCCCCAACTGCATGTGCTACTACTGAAGCTCAGTTTTCTGAACTGAAACGAAGATGATGAAAATAGTATCTGCTTTTCAGCACAGGGTTGTTTGGGGGAGCCAATGAGTTAATGTACATAAAAGCCCATTTTAATTGTTAAGTAGTATAAAAATAAGTGCTATGAAACTATAGTTGAATATAATTCAGTTTATGACTTTGAATTCTTTTTTGGCCACCTAAGATGCAAAGGGATCAAATTTTGTCTTAGTACAAACATGCAGCTGAATTTAGCATTATAACTAGTCCAATTTCTTTTTCTTAAAAGTTTGTTTTGACAGGTGTAGAATTCTACCAAAGTCTTTGAAAGTGACTTTGACATTCATTTTTTAAAGTCCGAATACAAAAAGCAAGTTGCATGTGGTCAGCCTACAAAGTTGATTGGCTATAGAGTTACAGTTTATAAAATAGTCTTCCCTCCTTCCCCAAAATCTTACTATATACTCTCAAACAAGGACAAAAAAAAACCCGTTCATTGACAACTCTTATTTATTGTTATGATGTACTAAGTGATTTTGAAAAAGTTTAGAAATAGTAAAATATCATAATTTTTGTTTCTATATGAAGATATAGGTACATTCTTAATAAATTAGAAAAAGTTGAAACTATGGTAAGATTTACTAGACACTAAAGTCAGTCATTTTCTGCAGAAGATGGGGCAATTGAGAAGATGGGAAACATAAGTGGGAAGCAGACTTTTCATTGTATAAATCAATTTTTTTGGTTTTTGCAATGTGAATATATTGCTTATTCAAAAAAATTAAAATAAAACTAGTATGTTTTAATCTTTTATTTACCCCACCTAGGGGATTCCAAGTTAAATTTAAATTTTAGATAAACAATAAAGATGTTTTAGTATAATTAAATAAGTATAAGTAAGTTTAGTATTATGTATATTAAAACATTATTTGTTGTTTATCTGAAATTCACATTTAATTTGGCATCCTGTATTTTATCTGACCAAATTAACTCCATCCCATGTTCTTTTGTTGTGTTATTTTCTCCCTTTTATTTACAATTGATGCATAATAATTCTATATATAATGATCAAATAAGGGTAATTAGCATATTAATCTCCTCAAACATTTATTCTTTCTGTTGTGAACATTCAAAATCCCTTCTTCCAGATTTTTGAAAATATACACATTATAGTTAACCATATTCACCCTGCAGTGCTACAGAACACCAGAATTTATTCTTCCTATCTAGCTGTAATTTTGTACCCTTAACCAACCTTTCTCCCCATTCTCTCCTCCCGACTACCTCGCCTACAGCCTCCAATAGCTACAATTCTGCTCTCTACTTCCATGAGCTCAAAAAATGTTTTTAGTTCTCATACATGAGTGATAACATGCAGTCTTTATTTTTCTGTGCCTGACTTATTTCGCTTAACATAACGTCCTTCAGGCTCAACCATATTGCCACAAATGACAGGGTTTCATTCTTTTTTATAGTTAAATAGTATTCCGTTATGTGTATACACGTGTGTGTGTGTAATATATACATATATTACATTTTCTTTATCCATTCACCTATTGATGGCATTTAGGTTAATTCTAAATCTTAGCTATTGTGAATAGTGCTGCAGTAAACGTGGGGGTGCAGGTATCCCTTGGATACACTGATTTCCTTTGTTTTGGATAAATACCCAGGAGTGAGGTTGCTGAATCCTTTGGAAGTTCTGCTTTTAATTTTTTGAGAAAACTCCATCCTGTTTTTCATAATGGCTGTACTAATTTACATTTCTACTAACAGCATATAAGAGTTCCCTTTTTTGGGCCCAGGTGAGCGGATCACTTGAGGTCAGCAGTTTGCAACCAGCCCGGCCAACATGGTGAAACCCCATCTCTACTAAAAATACAATACACATTAGCCGGGTGTGGTGGCAGGTGCCTCTAATCACAGCTACTCGGGAGGCTGAGGCAGGAGAATTGCTTGAACCCACAAGGCAGAGGTTGCAGTGAGCCGATATTGCGCCACTGCACTTCAGCCTGAGCGACAGAGTGAGACTCCATCTCAAAAAAAAAAAAGAGTTCCCTTTGCTCTGCATCCTCACCAGCATCTCTTTTTTTTTTTTTTTTTCTGTCTTTTTGATAATAGCCATTTCAACTGGATGAGATTATATTGTGATTTTTATTTGCATTTCCTTGATGGTTAGTTAGTGATGAGCATTTTTTCATATACCTAGTGGCTATTTGTATGATATCTTTTGAGAAATGTCTATGCAGTTCCTTTGCCCACCTTCTGGTTGGATTATTTGTGTGTGTGTGTGTGTGTGTGTGTGTGTGTGCATGTTTCATTTGTGTGTGTATGTGTTTGGGTTTTTTTTTGTTTTTTGTTTTGCTGTTGAGTTGTTTGAGTTCCTTGTATATTCTGGATATGAGATCCTTATTGGATGAGTAGTTTGCAAATATTTTCTCCCTTCCATAGTTTGTCTCTTCACTCTGTTGATTGTTTCCTTTTGCTGTGCAGAAGCTTTTTAGTTTAATGTAGTACCATTTGTCTATTTATGTTTTTGTTGCCCATGCTTTTGAAGTATTAGTCATAAAATCCTTGCCTAGATCAACATTTTCTCTTGTTTCTTCTAGTAGTTTTATGGTTTCAAGTTTTACATTTAAGTCCATTTTTTGAGTTGATTTTTGTATATGTTGAGAGATAGGGGTCTAGTTTCATTCTTCTGTATGTAGATATCCTATTGTTTTAGATTTAAGAATTTATTAGAATTATTTTTAGCTGTAACTGACCCACAGAATTTTGTATTGGATTTCCTATTGTCTCCAAATAGGAAAAAAAAAAAATCAAGAAACACCATTTCCCATTTCTTAAGTTACAATTTTTTCTTTTAACTCAGTTGCACTTCAGAAATTAAGCTTTTGTTTATAAAAGATATTTAATCAGTTTATCATGATCCTAAAACAAATTTTTTTCTTGACTGTTCTTTGTTATGATTGTCTTATTTTTGGCAGGGGAATTTGGTGATTTCAGTTGCAGTACTTCATAATATGCATGGGGAAACAGAATTCTTTTGGCCTCTCATCATACTATGTATTTGTTTCTATTCTGCCTTTTATGCCAGAAAATTACATTAGGATCTTGATTATCTACTCCATACTAAATAAATTTCATAAGAAAAGACTGCATCTGTAGAAAATACATGTCTAAGAGTGTAAAAGTCTTCCAGCTTATTTGCTTTCATTATTTCAGGTAAACAAAACCATGTCAGATTTTTTATAATGCCTCAAATTTGTTTATGGTCTTCTCAGATAGTTCTTTTTAACTAACATAACTCTCAAGTACCATTTAGCTGGTGCATTTCTTAATTATGGATTTAATCAATTTATGATAAATTTATTAATAACTGAATGATGCATTGTTATTAAGGAATGCAAGATAAATGGATTTGATAGACATTTAGTAATTTGCTTAGCCTAATGAACATTCTTTTATAAATTTGAAAAAAAATTATATTCCTTAGCCATGCTTTTAAAAAATGAATTGAGTAATGTAATATTTGCTTTTAATTCTTATTAATTTCTTTTATTCCCTGAGTTAATCAAATAGGAATAATGAGTTATATGTTTGCTCTAATTGTACTGCCTCATTACCTGTACTATTTTATACATTACATTTTATCTGTAGTCTCTTTATGTTGTTATCCTGGAAATAAATGTGAATTTGCCTCACACTTTATGCCTCACGAAGAAAATCTTTGGAATTTCATATTTTTTATTAAGTTTAAATATAGAACTCTGTGTAGCCATTGTCACTCCAGCTATCATCTTTATTAGTACCTGAGCATGCAAATCATCTAAATTGTTATATAGAACATACTGTACTTATATAATACCACTAACAATTGCCTATAATTTGTTTTAGCTAATTTTTATGTTGTTTTCTTTCTTACTTTTAGACCACAGCAATGAAAAAAATAATGTATTACAATATGCGTATAAAAACTCTTCAGAGGCATCTTAATGAAGACCTTGAAAAACTGAATGATCGAAAATGCAAATTACAAAAGTTGCCAGAAGAACGAATAAAATTATTCAGCTTTGTGAAGAAAACCGTAAGATTTAGTAATGTAAAATTCCAGTGGCCATATCTTAAGAAAACTGTTAGATAAGATAGCAAGCAATATATTTTAAATTATGTATATAATACACACACACACACACACGTAATTACTACTGAATTTCAAGTTAAGCTTGCTCCAAAAAAGTCTTGATTCCAAGTACTTAACTAAGCTGCATTCTGTGCTTAGAAGTCTGCAATTCAAAAAAAGTGTAGGCTTATTAAATTATGAATTTTGTTAAAAAAAAAACTATGTATTTTAATATGAGTTAGAGTGTTACAATGTTAGACTTATTTCAGCTGCATTTTTATTAGATGCCAGCAGGCTGTGCTCAAAATTCATTTGCTTGTTTAAGGTGCTAAAAAAAAAAAAACCCTTTACTAATAATATTAAGGTATACAACAAAGTGGGAATTTTAAGTCAAGCTATATTTTAGTAATATGCATGCATTTTTATTTAGAATAAATTGGATTTCTTTTACTAAAAGTAGACCCTGAAAAAGTAAGCATTATTTAACTCAAAACAGAATCTTGTATATATAATAATTCTGGTATTTTTTTCAGTATGAAGAAATAATGGATTATTCAACAAATGGTGTTAGAAAAGTAGTCAAACTATTTGGGAGCTGGAGAGTTGGATCCTTCATTTGCACTTTACCAAATGTAAATACCAGTAGGAAAAAAAGAATTAAATGTAAAAATCAAAACATGAAAACTTGAAGAATAAATATATAGATGGATATATTTATCTGATCTCAGCCTGCTAAATTAAAGAAACACTAGAAATCACAAAGGAATAAAATGTAGATTTGATTTTTTAAAAACCAGTGAAATGCTTTTGTATTTAAAATCATCATTAATAAATGTAAACAAAAAATGAAACTGAAAAGTGTCTTCAACAAACATGATGGACAAAGGGTCAATATCCTTAGTATAAAAAGGTGCTCATCTGTAAAATAAAATAAAAGGTAAATGTCTAAATAGAAAAATTGAGCAAGGTATGTAAACTAGAATTTTGCAAAAGTAGAAATAAAAATGACTAAGAAGCATTTGAAAGAACTCAATTTGATGATTAATTTCCAAATGTTAATTAAGATACCAAGAAACCGTTTTACCTATAAACTGTCAAAGTATGACACATGACAGTACTCAGGCTGGTGAAGACGGATGTGACACACTAGATACCACTTATGGAAGTGTAACTTTGATCATATGTATAACAGCCTAAAAAAGCCGAGTTTTTGACCCAGTAAATCTGCTTCTAGCACTCCATTGTAAATATGTATATAAAAGGATATATATATAAATATTTATATATCATTGCACTATTAATAATTTAAAAATTGGAAACTGTTTAATAAGAAGAGTTATACACTCAAGATAGTGTGTAGCTATTAATATTAAAAACCAAAGTTTTGAAATACATTTAATGCTTTTTTAAAGAGAGCAGTTCTTATTATAATCAGAAAAATATTCTTAAAGTAAAACATTAATAAAATTTAATTAAAATTAAAATTAATAATAAAAAGATTTCAATAAAAATCACAAGAGATCAATATATGGATATCACTTTATATCTGCTATTTTCATGTGCAAATGCATGTATTAAGTAAAATCTGCAAATGAGAAAAATAATGGCTATAGATATATACAAATATATACATTTTAATGAATATGCTTAATCTCTTTTCTAATACCTGAATATATCTATTATAGAGGAGTACAGATAACTAGTAAATTTCCACTTATATACACTTGCCCTTATAGAGTACAGTTTATCTGTTGTTGTTGTTGCTTTTATTTTACTTTAAATTCCAGGATACATGTGCAAAACATGCAAATGTTACATAGGTATACATTTGACATGATGGTTTGCTGCACCTATCAACCTGTCATCTAGGTTTTAAGCCCCACATGTGTTAGGTATTTGTCCTAATGCTCTCCCTCCTCTCGCCCCCCACCCCACAACAGGCCCTGGTATGTGATGTTCCTCTCCCTGTGTCCATGTGTTCTCATTGTTCAACTCCCACTTGTGAGTGAGAAAATATGGTGTTTGGCTTTCTGTTCCTTTGTTAGTTTGCTGAGAATGATGGCTTCCAGCTTCATTCATGTCCCTGCAAAGGACATGAACTCATTCTTTTTAATGGCTGCATAATACTCCATGGTGTATACGTGCCATGTTTTCTTTATCCAGTCTGTCACTGATGGGCATTTGGGTTGGTTCCAAGCCTTTGCTATTGTAAATAGTGCTGCAATAAACATATGTGTGCATATGTCTTTATAGTAGAATGATTTATAATCCTTTGGGTGTATACCCAGCAATGGGATTGCTGGGTCAAATAGTATTTCTGGTTCTAGATCTTTGAGGAATCGTCACACTGTCTTTCACAATGGTTGAACTAATTTACACTCCCACCAACAGTGTAAAATCGTTCTTATTTCTCCACATCCTCTCCAGCATCTGTTGTTTCCTGACTTTTTAATAATCGCCATTCTAACTGGCATGAGATGGTATCTCATCGTGGTTTTGATTTGCATTTCTCTAATGACCAGTGATGATGAGCTTTTCTTCATACGTCTGTTGGCAGCATAAATGTCTTCTTTTGAGAAGTGTCTGTTTGTATCCTTCGACCACATTTTGATGGGGTTGTTTTTTTCTCGTAAATTTGTTTAAATTCCTTGTAGATTCTGGATATTAGACCTTTGTCAGATGGGTATCTTGCAAAAATTTTCTCCCATTCTGTAGGTGGCCTGTTCAATCTGATGATAGTTTCTTTTGCTGTGCAGAAGCTCTTTAGTTTGATTAGATCCCATTTGTCAGTTTTGACTTTTGTTGCCGTTGCTTTTAGTGTTTTAGTCATGAAGTCTTTGCCCATGCTTATGTCCTGCATGGTATTGCCTAGATTTTCTTCTGGGGTTTTTATGGGTTTGGGTTTTACATTTAAGTCTTTGAGCCATCTTGAGTTACGTTTTGTGTAAGGTGTAAGGAACGGGTCCAGTTTCTGTTTTCTGCATATGGCTAGCCAGTTTTCTCAGCACCATTTATTAAATAGGGAATCCCTTCCCCATTTCTTGTTTTTGTCAGGTTAGTCAAAGATCAGATGATTGAAGAAATGTGTTATTTCTGAGGTCTCTGTTCTGTTCCATTGGTCTATATATCTGTTTTGGTAACAGTATCATGCTGTTCTGGTTACTGTAGCCTTGTAGTATAGTTTGAAGTCAGGTAGTGTGATGCCTTGAGCTTTATTCTTCTTGCTTAGAATTGTCTTGGCTATACAGGCTCCTTTTTGGTTCCATATGAAATTTAAAGTAGTTTTTTCTAATTCTGTGAAGAAAGTCAATGGTAGCTTGATGGAATAGCATTGAATCTATAAATTTCTTTGGGGAGTATGACCATTTTCACGATATTGATTCTTACTATCCATAAGCATGGAATGTTTTTCCATTTGTTTGTGTCCTCCCTTATTTCCTTGAGCAGTGGTTTGTAGTTCTTGAAAAGGTCCTTCATGTCCCTTGTAAGTTGTATTCCTAGGTGATTTATTCTCTTTCTAGCAATTGTGAATGGGAGTTCACTCATGATTTGGCTCTTTGCTTATCTATTATTGGTGTTTAGGAATGGTTGTGATTTTGCACATTGATTTTGTATACTGGGACTTTGCTGAAGTTGCTTATCAGCTTAAGGAGTTTTGGGCTGAGATTGTGGGATTTTCTAAATATACAATCATGTCATCTGCAAACAGAGACAATTTGACTTCCTGTCTTCCTATTTGAATACCTTTATTTTTTTCTCTTGCCTGATTTCCGTGAACAGAACTTCCAATACTATTTTGAATAGGAGTGGTGAGAGGGGGCATTTTTGTCTTCTGCAATGTTTCCAGCTTTCACCCATTCAGTATGATACTGGCTGTGGGTTTGTCATAAATAGCTTTTATTATTTTGAGATATGTTCCAGCAATACCTAGTTTTTTTGAGAGTTTTTAACATGAAGGGCTGTTGAATTTTATCAAAGGCCTTTTCTGCATCTATTGAGATAATCGTGGGTTTTGTCATTGGTTCTGTTTATGTGATGGATTACGTTTATTGATTTGCTTATGTTGAACCAGCCTTCCATCCCAGGGATGAGCTGACTTGATCATGGTGGATAACCTTTTTGATGTGCTGCTGGATTTGATTTGCCAGCATTTTATTGAGGATTTTTCATGGATGTTCATCAGGGATACTGGCCTGAAATTTTCTGTTTCTGTTGTATCTCTGCCAGCTTTTGGTATCAGGATGATACTGGCCTCATAAAATGAGTTATGGAGGAGTCCTTCTTTTTCTATTGTTTGGAATAATTTCAGAAGGAATGGTACCAGCTCCTCTTTGTACCTCTGATAGGTGGCTGTCAATCCATCTGGTCCTGGGCTTTTTTTGATTGGTAGGATATTAATTACTGCCTGAATTTCAGAACTTGTTATTGGTCTATTCAGGGATTCAACTTTGTTCTGATTTAGTCTTGGGAGGGTGTATGTGTCCAGGAATTTATCCATTTCTGCTAGATTTTCTAGTTTATTTGTGTAAAGGTGTTTGCAGTATTCTCTGATGGTAGTTTGTATTTCTTTGGGATCAATGGTGATATCCCTTTATCATTTTTATTGTGTCTATTTGATTCTTCTCTCTTTTCTTCTTTACTAGTCTAGCTAGTGGTTCATCTATTTTGCTGATCTTTTCAAAAAACCAGCTCTGGCATTCATTGACTTTTTGAAGGGTTTTTCATATCTCTACCTCCTTCAGTTTTGCTCTAATCTTAGTTATTTGTCTTCTGCTAGCTTTTGAATTTGTTTGCTCTTGCTTCTATAGTTCTCTTAATTGTGAAGTTAGGGTGTCGATTTTAGATCTTTCCAGCTTTCTGTTGTGAGCATTTAGTGCTATAAATTTCCCTCTTAACACTGCTGTAGCTGTGTCCCAGATATTCTGGTACATTGTCTCTTTGTTCTCATTGGTTTCAAAGAACTATTTTATTTCTGCCTTAATTTTGTTGTTTTCCCAGTATTATTCAGGAGCAGGTTGTCAATTTCCATATTGTTGTGTGGGTTTTAAGTGAGTTACTTAATCCTGAGTCCTAATTTAATTGCACTGTGGTCTGAGGGACCGTTTGTTATGATTTCTATTCATTTGCATTTGCTAAGGAGTATATTACTTCCAATTATGTGGTTGATTTTAGAATATATGCTATGTGGTGCTGAGAAGAATATATATTCTTGATTTGGGGTGGAGAGTTCTGTAGATGTCTATTATGTCTGCTTGGTACAGAGCTAAGTTCAAGTCCTGAATATCCTTGTTAACTTCCTGTCTTGTTGATCTGTCTAATATTGACAGTGGGGTGTTAAGGTCTCCCAGTATTATCATGTGAGTGTCTAAGTCTCTTTGTAGATCTCTAAGAACTTATTTTATGAATCCGGGTGCTCCTGTATTGGGTGCATATATATTTAGGATAGTTAGCTCTTCTTGTTGCATTGATCCCTTTACCATTATGTGATACCCTTCTTTGTCTTTTTTGATCTTTGTTGGTGTAAAGTCTCTTTTATCAGAGACTAGGATTGCAACTCCTTTTTTTTTTTTTTTTTTTTTTTGCTTTCCATTTGCTTGGTAAATATTCCTCCATTCCTTTATTTTGAACCTATGTGTGTCTTTGCACATGAGATGGGTCTCCTGAATACAGCACACCAATGAGTCTTTAATCTTTATCCAATTTGCCAGTCTGTGCCTTTTAATTGGGGCATTTAGCCCATTTACATTTAAGATTAATATTATTATATGTGAATTTGATCCTGTCATCATGATGCTAGCTGGTTATTTTGCACATTAATTTATGCAGTTTCTTCATGGTGTCATTGGTCTTTATATTTTGGTATGTTTTTGCTGTGGATGGTACCAGTTTTTCCTTTCTCTATTTAGTGCTTCCTTCAGGAGCTCTTGTAAGGTAGGCCTGGTGGTGACAGAATCCCTCAACATTTGCTTCTCTGTAAAGGATTTTATTTCTCCTTCACTTATGAAGGTTAGTTTGGCTGGATATGAAATTCTGGGTTGAAAATTCTTTTCTTTAAGAATGTTGAATATTGGCCCTCACTCTGTTCTGGCTTGTAGGGTTTCTGCTGAGAGGTCTGCTGTTAGTCTGATGGGCTTCCCTTTGTAGGTAACCTGACCTTTCTCTCTGGCTGCTCTTAACATATTTTACTTTGTTTTGTTTCAGTGTTGGAGAATCTCACAATTATGTGTCTTGGGGTTGCTCTTCTCAAGGAGTATCTTAATGGTGTTCTCTGTATTTCCTGAATTTGAATGTTAACCTGTCTTGCTAGGGTGGGGAAGTTCTCCTGGATAATATCCTGAAGTGTGTTTTCCAGCTTGGTTCCATTTTCCCCATCACTTTCAGGGACCCCAATAAATCAGAGATTTGATATTTTCACATAATCCCATACTTATTGGAGGCTTTGTTCATTCCTTTTCATCTTTTTGCTCTAATCTTGTCTTCATGCCTTATTTCAGTAAGTTGATCTTCAATCTCTGACATCCTTTCTTCTGCTTGATCAGTTTCAGCTATGGATACTTGTGTATGCTTCACGAAGTTCTTGTGCTGTGTTTTTCAGCTCCATCAGGTCATTTATGTTCTCTAAACTGGTTATTCTAGTTAGCAGTTCCTGTAACCTTTCATCAATGTTCTTAGCTTCCTTGCATTGGGTTAGAACTTGCTCCTTTAGCTCAAAGGAGTTTGTTATCACCCACCTTCTGAAGCCTACTTCTGTTAATTCATCAGTCTCATTCTCTGTTCAGTTTTATGCCCTTGCTGGAGAGGAGTTGCAATCATTTGGAAGAGAAGAGGCATTCTGGTTTTTGGAATTTTCAGCGTTTTTGTGCTGGTTTTTCCTCATCTTCATGGATTTATCTACCTTTGATCTTTGAGGCTGATGACCTTCGGATGGGGTTTTTGTGTGAGGGTCCTTATGTTGATCTTGATGTTGTTGCTTTCTGTTTGTTAGTTTTTCTTCTAACAGGCCTCTCTTATGCAGGTCTGCTACAGTTTGCTAGAGGTCTACTCCAGACCCTGTTCATTTGGGTATCACCAGTGGAGGCTGCAGAATAGTAAAGATTGCTGCCTGCTCCTTCCTCTGGAAGCTTCATCCTGGAGGAGCACTGACCTGATGCCAGCCAGAGCTCTCCTGTATGAGGTGTATGTCGACCCTGTTGGGAGGTGTCTTCCAGTCAGGAGGCATGGGGGTCAGGAACCCACTTGAGCAGGCAGTCTGTCCCTTAGCAGAGCTGGTGCACTGTGCTGGGAGAATCTCTCTTGTCAGGATTAGCTGCTGTCTTCAGAGCTGGTAGGCAGGAACGATTAAATCTGCTGAAGCTGTGCCCACAGCCACCCCTTCCACCAGGTGCTCTGTCCCAGGGAAGTGGGAGTTTTGTTTGTAAGCCCCTTACTGGGGCTGTTACCATTCCTTCAGAGATGCCCTGCCTAGCGAGGAGGAATCTAGAGAAGCAGTCTGACCACAGCCGCTTTGCCACCCAGCCAAGACCTCCCAACCTCCTTAGCACTGTCAGGGAAAAACCACCTACTAAAGCCCCAATAATGGCAGACACCCCTGCCCCAACCAATCTCAATCAACCCAGGTCGACTTCAGACTGCTGTGCTGGCAGCAGGAATTTCAAGCCAGTGGTTCTTAGCTTGCTGGGCTCCATGGCAGTGGGACCCACTGAGCGAGACCACTTGGCTCCCTGGCTTCAGTCCCCTTTGCAGGGGAGTGAATGATTCTATCTCGCAGGAGTTCCATGGCGGGCGCCTGTAGTCCCAGCTACTCAGGAGACTGAGGCAGGAGAATGGCATGAACCCAGGAGGCGGAGCTTGCGGCAAGCTGAGATCACGCCACTGCACTTCAGCCTGGGCGACAGAGCAAGACCATGTCTCAAAACAAAACAAAACAAAACAAAACAAAACAAAAAAACTCCTGCAGCTAGCTCAGTGTCTGCCCAAACAGCTGCCCAGTTTTGTGCTTGAAACCAAGAGCCCTGGTGGCGTAGGCACAAGAGGGAATCTCCTGATCTGCAGATTGCAAAAATAGTGGGAAAAGCATAGTAACCTGGCTGGATAGCAGAGTCCCTCATGGCTTCCCTTGGCTGGGGAAGGGAGGTCCCTGCTCCTTGCACTTCCTTGGTGATGTGACACCCCATCCTGCTTCTGCTCACCATTCATGGGTTGGACCCACTGTCTAACCAGTCCCCATGAGATGAACAGGTACCGCAGTTGGAAATGCAGTAATCACCTGCCTTCTGCATTGGTCTCACTGGAAGCTGCAGACCAGAGATGTTCCTATTCAGCCATCTTGGCCCCCCTCCTCAGTACAATTTATCTTTAAATTACATAAGGCTGAGATTAGAGTTAGACAAAAGAGGTTCTTGCTGTGGGCCCAGAATTTAAGGGAGTACCCAAAAACCTTAGTAATCAAGATAAATAATATTCAATGCAGCATTTTTAAATATCTACATTAATGCAAAAAGTTCATTACAATAAATGTAAAAACCCCAAAATAACAAAATCTTAAGACCAGTGCTGTCTTGTAAGACCAGTGCTGAGTCATGTAAGAGACTAAGACAAAAGGAAAAATGTGCACCCCTATATATATGCTTTTGTGTATTTCTACTAGTTATTTTTTTCCCGAACACCAAAATGGTTGAAAAATACTTAAAAATTGAAAAGTAGGTGTGTTAAAAATTACATTATTTGAATTTTAAATATTTGTACTAAAACCAGTATTTATTTTAATTTTACTTTGGCTTTAATAGAGGCAAACTTATTAAAACTATTTGAAAATCTGTTGCTTTGCTTATTTTCAGTTGAGAGACTGCTATGTTTGAAGTGGTTAGGGTTGGCACTTGGTCAAGAGAAACTGGCTGACTGATTTTGCACCCAAGTTGAAATCACATGTTTGGCATGCTTTTATGAAATTTAGCCTGTTTATTACCTAGATTTCCACTTTGTTCATTTAAATTAGACATTTGTTTAATAGATCCCATTAAAAATTAATATCTGAATTCTGACTTTGCCTAGACCATGTTTTATTTTTATTTTGCTCTCTGATGCGATGTTTTCCACAGTTGGAACGAGAACTGGCTGAACTCAAGGGCTCGGGCAAAGGGCACAGTGATGGATCCAATAACAGTAAAGTAACTGATCCTGAAACATTGAAGAGTTGTGAAACTGTCACTGAAGAACCAAGTCTTCAACAGAAGATATTGACCAAACTAAGTGCCTTGAATGAAAGGGTAACATTCTGGAACAAAAAACTAGATGAGTATGTTTAATTAATTATCTAGTTGTTCAGATTTGAAACTGAGAGAATCAGAATGTTTTGGGCCATCATTGACCCTAGTTCCCTTCTTCAGGAGTGTGAACAATTACAGTATGAAGTAAAGCATGAATTATATTCTTAGTACTAGTTCCTAGTACTTATAATCATCATGGGTTAAAAGCTGGCATACAGTTTTTTTGCAGAGGCAGTTCTTAATTAGGAACAGTAAGCTTCCTCCCAGTGGCTTCCTGTCATATCACTGCTCTAGTGTCTGCAAACTAAACACAATAGAGCCTCTGCTGGTGCATAAACTCACCAATTAGATGAGACCTGGCAAAGCCCACACACAGTAGAAACAAGTTCAGTCTCAATTATCAATTCGAAATGTAAAGCAAGAAGGCTTAGCAAGGACTGTGAATTTTTTTATTTACTAAGGCACTAAGTGGATAAATTAGTGTGCCCTGTGATAATACTAAAAATGATGGTAACATGTATTGGGTTTTTATTTTGTGCCAGACTCTTTGCTAAGATCTTTACATGTATTTTGCATATATATAAAACAGCCATTTTAGAAATAAGGACTATGAATATTGCCATTTTACTAAGAAAACTGAGGCATAAAAAGTCCAAGTGACATGTCTGAGAGCTGAAAGCTGTAAGTGGTAGAGCAAGGATAGTCTTCTAGCCTTCGCATATTCTGAGAGTAGCAAAATTAAAAGTGATTTTAATTGCCAAAAATAGAATATCCTTTACATGGTTTAACTGTTAACACGAAATTTTCTTTATCCATTGAAAGGAAGCCTTGTGTTTTAACATCAGTTAAAAAAAAGTCTATCATAAGTTTTAATGTTGTGATTTGTAGATCATTCTAATAGCTGTATGTATTTTTCTCTCCAACAGAATTGAAGCAATTTATCATATTGAAGTAAAACAAAAGAAGAAAAGTCATGGCTTATTGATCCCACTTTTGTTAACTGAGTTAGAGACTGTGGGAAATTTCCATTTTGAAGAAGGCACTCGATCTGATGACTGGTAAATCTGTTAGAAATTTAGTATAGCTTTAAAAATAATTTAAGTACTTAGGATCATCAACCAGAATATCAACTTGTAAAATCCTAGAATGTCCCATTTTTGAAACATCTCTCATGCAGAATATTCATCTATTAAAAATTGGCAGGCATCTATTGAAAATTGAAAATTACCTACTTTCCACCTATACATTTCTGTTTATGCCATTATCATGAGCCAGCCTTGAAGACATCCTAATGATTTATCATTGCTTTTTACCCAATTTTCCTTAGCCCAAGAGCAGAATATAATTTAGAAAAAAAAAGTTTATAATCAAGTTTGAATTTTTCATATGTTTATACTGTTTGTTTCTGGACTGGATAGAGTGCATGTTTCTGAATATTGGTTGAGAAACTGGAACAGAGCAAGAATGCCAAAGCAGGACTGGCAACAGCAGGTTGCCAACATGGGAACAGACTGTCTAGCAAATCTTCTGTAGGTCTGTGATCAGAGTGGAACCCACTGTTTAGAGATAGCTACAGTAGGGATGCACAAGAACACTACATGTTAGGATAAAGTATATGCTTATATCAGGAATTCAGGTCAAAAGCTTGTATCAGCAAAAGTGGAGAGACACCAGATTCAAGCAGAAATGAGACAGCCAGGCTTTAGAACCAAGGCCTACTAGTAGATACTAGGAAGTGGTTGTGTTGCTTCAATTAGAGGGGCACAATTTAAAATTACCCTTTAAAAAAAAAGTCATGAAGAAAAATATTGTTAAGTATGACTTTCACATTTCTGAGTCATTTTTTTCCAGAATTGAAGAGCCTGTGAAACAGAAAGATTGCTCTAGAGCCACAGTAGGAACTGGGTACATGGAAATACACCAGGAGACATATCAAACTATAGAACGGAGTTGGCACATAACCCTGGAGCATGATTTTACTTGAAGTCAATGTCAAAATAAATACTACTTTTTATAGTGTAGAATGTAAAACTTACACTAACTTTTTAGAAAAAAAACTGTCATTGTTATGGGTTACTTTAAACCAAGTCCCCTGATTTCTATTAGACATGGCTTTTCTCTCACCTCTGTGAGTAAAAGCTTCTCAAAGGTCTTGGGAGAACTCTGGTGGAAAAGCGTAAGAAGCTCTTTGCAGGGGAAAAATAGGTCTTTTAAAATACTTTCCTTTGTATTAGTACATCCATTTGCCCAGCAGTTACTACTGTTTGCTTAACCACATTATTTGATTTTTATATACAAAGATATAAAAGGTGTTCATCCAGTTCCCATGTAAACAAGTAAAGGCCTTGACTTTTCAAGTGCAAAAACTGAATGGTGTGTCTCTCCTGGGTGCACATTTATATTCACTCAACCTAAACAGGAATTTTTTTTTTTTTTTTTTTTTGAGATAGAGTCTCGCTGTGTTCCCCAGACTGGAGTGCAGTGGCCTGATCTCAGCTCCCTGCAACCTCTGCCTCCCAGGTTCAAGCGATTCTCCTACCTCAGACTCCCGAGTAGCTGAGATTATAGGTGCATGCCACCACACCTGCTAATTTTTGTATTTTTAGTGGAGATGGGTTTTTGCCATGTTGGCCAGGCTGGTCTCAAACTCCTGGCCCAAGTGATCTTCCTACCTCGGCCTCCCAAAGTGCTGGGATCACGGGCATGAGCCACTGTGCCCAGCCCTAAGCAGGATTTTTAAAACTTATTTCTGTTTCTTTTTAACTTATTGCAAAGAAAGCTCTTTGCGACAAGTGGATTAGTGAAAAAAAAATGTAAAAGCAAAATGACCAAAAAGTCATTTAGATAACTATGTCAGCCTGATAGTAAATTAGGTGGATTTGATGGATTTTGATTAGCATTAACCTGTTTACTTGGTTTTAAAAAGGGTAACCTTGATTTATTTTAAGGAATAAATCAAATATATGTTAGCAGAATTTAAAGGACTGTTTTTTAGTTTTAGCATACTGCAAGTTTGGCTACTTTTCCTCTGATCTTTTATGCAAAGAAATAACTACTAAGTGCTTTAAATTGCTAGGCTACATTTCTAGTTGTTTTATTTAAACATTGACTTATTAATATTTTTAAGGCTAAGGATTCAGTATTTAAATAAAATGTATTTTAGTAGAACTAGGACTGAAAGATTTTCTGTTAAAATTACCTTTATGTCTTTAACAACAACAAAACACTGCATGTTTCTAATTGAATGTCATTATCTCTTAGCTTCACTTCTTTTATGAAATAAAATTATTATATTTTCCAGTTTTAAAAAATCTTATTTTATAGAGACATGCTAGTTGAGTGGATTATTGCTACTATACCTTCATTATTATAGATTCATATTATTTACTGATGTGTTGCCAATTGAGGTACCCATTGACATCAGACAACATTTATCAAGTAGGGACTCCAAAGCATAAAAGATGCTGTCCTTGTGCCTGAGAAGCTGTCAACTTGGTTATACAGTCTATTTACAACTTAAAAAACCTTTAAAATACCACGAAACAATATATAAGTGACTCTGTAAGTTCCTTTGGGGAAGATATGATGTTTTGTGTGTCTTACAAGTCATAACATCTAGCATGGGGCTGGATTAATAGCCCAGTATATATTTACTAGTTGAAGCTTCCATATCACTTTATAGATACTCAACAGTTTTGCTTTGATGTATATAATGACTTTCAGTAATTAATCTGCCTCTTTATAAAGATTTCATGCTATACTATCTCAAGGAGCTACAGAAGCAGAAACTTTTTGTTTTATAGGGTTTTGAAACTGTTATGATGTTGATTTAAGTCAGTAAGCCTGTAAAAATATTTATTAAACCCTTATCTAGGATTATAAAGTATATTTTAATAGATTAAGCATATGTATCCTACATTTGCTAAATGAGCACATTATTGTATATTAACAAAATTTGTAGGCATATTTCTGTGTAACTGAATATATTAGTCATTGATACATATCATTGTGAATGTTTATACCGTCAAGTCCCGCTGAATGAATGAGGATAAGGTACACAGTTCTGCTGATTCTAAAGCATTTGAACAGGAGTTATGATTAGTTTAGAGACCATACAGTGGAGAATAATGAATCCTCTACTGTAGGTAGAGTCTGAATGTAATTTGGAAGGCAACAAATAGCTGCAAAAGCTTTTGTTTTGTTTTATTGGCAGACTCTTCACCTACAGTGAGGGATCAGTGTTCTCTACTGTATGGTTTTAGACTATCATAACTTCTGTTCAGATCTTTTAAAGTCAGCTGAACTGTGTACCACACTGCTCTTGAAGCAAATGCAGTACTCCACCACATAAGTGGTTTTGTTTGTTCTGCTTCCTTCACCCAGAATGCTTTTGCATACCTCACCCTTACTTCATCATTGCTCAGCGGTTGAATTCCTGGGCAACATAAAATCTCCATGAAAAAATCACACTTCATAGCTCCTGCCTTCCTGGGGGACCAGCCTAGAAGCTAGATATTGCCTATTCATTCCTTCCACCCATTCATGAGACACCTCAAGCCCAATATCCACTATATAGCAAAAGCTTTATCTAAAACACCTGCAGCCCTAGTTTCTATCAGAGTGCAGAAAGCTTCCAGGACATGTTATTTAGGGGAAACTTGACAGATTTAGGCCCAGCGAATGATCCCTCTATAGGAGGGGCACTAGCTTCCCCACCTCAGATGATAATGTGGCTGTTTTAGTAGGTCCTCTGAACTGGTTAGCAGGCATCATGCTTGATTGCAACACTATTCATATCTGTCTTCTCTACCAGACTGTGAGCTCCTCTGAGATTAGTTTGATTTAGGCAGCTGTCTTTTCAACTCTAAGGGAGAAGTAATTTATAAGATCCTGGCTGCATTGATTAAGTATTTGCTTGTGAGAAATATAGATGCCCTAAGTTAGGAGCTTGCTCTTAGGCTCAAGGAGAGGCTACCCATCAGGAAGCTCACCTCTGTGACTTTAGCTCACACCCATTTCAGATCCTGGTTGATTATGTAGGTGAGGACCTAGATCTTTCATTAAAGGCAAATGTATTCCTTATAAGATCATTTACTTCCTTCTCAAGATGATCCATTTTTCAATCTCATCTTAATCTAGGTTCTGTGCTAGACAGGACTGGAATTTTATGCGTATGGCCAGGTGAGGGCAGCAGAGAGCAAACAAGCACTTCAGTGTTCTTCACACAGCTGGCTCCTGCTGCTGCTCCTCCAATTTTCAGATCAAATATCTTAACGTCTCTGAAAGGTCTTCCCCAAGGCCCTATCTTAAGTAGGTCCCCTTTGCATTCCTTACCCCAAGCTTCTCTTCAGAGCGCTTATCAGTTTAGAAATTTTATTTCTGGCTTTACTTGTTTAGGCTTCATTAGAGCAGACATTGCCTCTTTCATATCCGTATTCATAGTCAGGAAGTTATTTCAGTAGTCCAATGAGAGATCGTGGTGATTTGGATTAGGATGGTAACAGTGGTGATGATAAAACATGATCATATTCAGGATGGATTCTAGATGTAGAGCCAGGTGAACTTCCTAAAGAATTAGATACTGGGGCCGGGCGCGGTGGCTCACGGCTGTAATCCCAGCGTTTTGGGAGGCTGAGGCAGGCGGATCACTAGGTCAGGAGATTGAGACCATCCTGGCTAACACGGTGAAACCCCGTCTCTACTAAAAATATAAAAAACTAGCCGGGCGTGGTGGTGGACGCCTGTAGTCCCAGCTACTCGGGAGGCTGAGGCAGGAGAATGGCGTGAACCCGGGAGGCGGAGCTTGCAGTGAGCGGAGATCGCGCCACTGCCCTCTAGCCTGGGCGACAGAGCGAGACTCCGTCTCAAAAACAAAAACAAAAACAAACAAACAAAAAAGATTTGGATACTGGTAAGGAAGAAAGGAGAGGATTATTCCTACGGTTTTGACTTAAGCTACCAGTTAAATGGTGGTGCCATATACTGAGATGGAAAATACTCAGAGGAGCAGGTTTGGGGTGCAGTGTTAGTTATGTTAAGTTGGAGTCACCTATTTAATATGCAGATGGACATATCAAGTAGGTAGGTAGATATTCAAGTCCGGGTATAACCAGCTAAGTTGGGTAGAGATCAAGACTAGAAATAAAATGTTGTAATTTATCAGGATGTATATACAACCAAGGAACCACGTGAAATCACCTAGTTCATGGAAACAAGAGGAAGGCCAAAGGCTGATCCCTGGGCAGTTCAACATCTAAAAGTCTATCTGAGAAGACCCAGCAAAGAAAACTATGAAAGAGCAGCCAATAAGAGGAAGGCGTGTGTAGTTTCCCTGAAGCTAAGAAAGAACATGTTTCAGAAAGTGAGGATTGCTCAACCAACGTGTCTTCCAGGCAGAACAAATGTGCAATAAATGAATAGATAAACAGAGCCACTATATGATTATAGTATCTTTAGCAAAAAAACGCAAAATATGAGCCATAGCTTTTATCATATGTAATCTTCTGTTCTTAAACATTTTAAGGAAAATCTGTTATTCTCTCCATGTATATTCTGTATGCCCACATAGGTTTAATTTCTGCTATGAATTAATTCTGTCACGTTTTTGTGCCTGGGACTTCAGAACATATGGTATTACAGGAGTAAAAGTAAAACGCATCATTAAAGTTAACAACCGTATTCTGAGATTAAAATTCGAAGAGAAATTTCAAAAGTTTTTGGAGAATGAAGATATGCATGATTCAGAGTAAGAAGTTGAATTCTTTATGGAACAACTTTAAAAAGTTTGACTGTATTTGTAAAATTTCTATTTTAAAAGTTTACAGCATTAAAAATACACATATACCTTGTTAGTAAATGTTTCCTTTTTATGCATTTCCCATGGCTAGGATGACCTCATAATTTATCCACATAGAGCCTGTTTTTGAGGTTGAAGGCAGGGGAGCTATTAATAATGACACTAGAACATTGCATGTAAATGAGAAATATCCCTGGCAGGACATATGGTTATCTTATCTACGGCTAAGCTTTTGTGAAATCAATCCTCAAACTTCTTCTGTTTCACTTATTCTTAAGGAGCTACCGAAGGATGCTGGAATGCCTTTTTTATGTTTTTGATCCTGAAGTTACAGTGAAGAAAAAGCATCTTCTACAAATACTTGAAAAAGGATTCAAAGAGAGTGAAACAAGCAAGGTAGCATAGAATGTCATTTAGAATAATGCTTTCTTCCTAGCAAGTGGAGCTCTGCCACTGGTTAACCATGATTCCCAATCCTTTTATCCATATTTATAGTAAACTTCTACTGCTCTTTCACAAAAAGCTTAGTGTTATTATGGAAAGTATAGCATCTTTCCTCTTTGGATTATACTAAAGTAAGTCTATCAATTACTACTGTCTGACCCTACTTAATCCTTCTAGGCATCTTATTTTTATGTTGTGATCTTCTTGTTGATGGTTTTGAAATCTGCTTTTTAAATTGGCTATACATATTTAATCTGTTGTAAACTCTCCAGAGTCTTCACCTTGAAACAATTCAGTCACTTAACTCCACTGTACTTTGTAGCTATTGTCCTGTTTTCACTTTCTTTTTACTGCTACCATTTCTTTATTCTCTACTTCACTATCCCCATCTTGCTGCTGATCTTGCTTTATCATTGGTAACTTCTGATGCCCCAAGTACCCAACCAATCTTTCTCAGACCTCCACCGTCTTCACGAGGCAGCTGTAGCACACTGGTGTAGAGCAGCGCTTCCCAATCCTTTTCACATCATGACACACATAAAATGATAATATTGCTGCATTTGGATCCCGATTTCACTCCTCAGCAGCTATGTGACTTCACCTCTCTGTTCATCTGTTTCTTCCTATCTGTAAAATGAAGATAATAATATCTATTTTGCAGAGTTGTTAGGATTTAGTGAGATAATGCATTAAAAAGTTCTTGGATATTTGTACATCAGTGTTCATGACATCACTATTCAAATAGCCAAAAAACGAGAAACAATGCAAATATGCATCAACAGATGCATGGATAAACAAAAGTGGAATATACATACAATGGAATGCTATTCAGTCATAAAAAGAAATGAAATTCTGAAACATCCTACAACATGGAAGAACCTTGGAAACATTATGCTAGTGAAATAATAAGCCAGACGAAAATGGAAAAAGATTGTAAGATTCCATGTATGTGGAGTACCTAGAATAGGCAAATTCAAAGACAGAAAGTAGAATAGAGGTTACCAGAGGCTCTGGGAGAGGAGGGGGTAGGGAGTTACTGTTTAATGGGTACAGAGTTTGTTTGGAATAATGAAAAAGTTCTGGAAATGGATGGTGGTGATGGTTGCACAACAATGTGAATGTACCTAATGCCACTGAATTGTATGCTTGAAAATGGCTAAAATGGGACATTCTATCTTGTGTGTATTTTGCCACAATAAAAAAAATCACCCCCCAAAAAAGCATTCCATACACTCAATGGGGAATGGGTTGGTGGGAGTAGAAGCAGATGACAAGGCACTACGTGGGGGAGTTATTGCAGCAGCTCAGGCCGTAGAGGTTGGTACTCTGTTGCAGGGTGGTGGTGAGAGTGCTCTCATTGTACTTTACGGAGAAGTAAGAAAGAGGTGAGGAATTCAGGGTTTTACAAGGCAGAGTGAATTGCTCACATTCAGTCCAGAGAACTATGAACCATTATCAGGAGAGGGTGAGGGAAGGATGAGGCTAACACTTCTGTGTTTTCCACCTACCAGCCCCTCTGCTGAGTACTTTATCTTCTGCATCTCCTAAAAGAATGAACCATCTCCTTTAATTCTCCCACAGCTCTCTGTGCTGCTCTGTCCAAAAGAGTAGCCACCACCCACATGTAACTATTAAGCATTTGAAATGTAGCTAGTTCAAATTGAGTATACTGAAAGTTTAAAACAAGCACTGTTTTTAAAGACTGAGTATGGAAAAAAACACTATAATTTTTATATTGAATACATGTTGACTTGATAGTATTTTGGACATATTAGATTAAATAAGATAATAAGATTTACCAAAAAAAATCTCTTGGACCAATGCCTGGCACCAGGAAAGTTTTTGATATTTTATTTTGAAAGTTTTAAATATTTTTATTTTTGAATTTTTATTATTGTCTGAAACATTTGACACTATTGATTGCCTTCTCCTTTTTGAAACTCTCCTTTGGCATCCATGATATTATACTATTGTTATCCTCCTATTTTTCTGATTGTTATTTCCTTCCTTTTCGTTCCCCATTTTGCCTCTAAACATGAGAATAACACAGGTTAAAGTTTCCTGATCTTCCCTTTTTTTCTTCACACACCGTCAATTACTGTCATTGTTAAGATCCTAGAAATGGGAGAAACATCAGCGTGTAGCATGTAAAAGATGAGATGAGCTACATTTCTGTGCTATGATGTGTACATAATGGGTCAGGATAAATATTTATGTTCTGCATTGTTTAAGAGATGGGCTCTGATTTAAAAGACAGCTTTGTAAGCAGTTTAGAAGAGAGGTTTGGCTAAGGTTGGCAGTATCTACAGGCAGAGGGCTGGCTGTAGTAGGGAAGAAGAAACTATTTGACTAACAAACATATCTAAGGTTAAGTCCACTTTCTAGTTGGAAGAGGAAGGAGTTCTTTCTGTCACTTCAGGATGAAGCGTTCAGTAGTAAGGGTGGGAGAGTATGTGAGTAAATCTGCTCACATAGCTTGATTTCATTCCCTATCAAATTGTTTGTAATCAAGGACTTGGTCAATAAACGCAAAGACTATCACATATTCCCTTATGGTTTCTCCAAAATGTACATCTTCAGTTAGGCTATCTCTTCCTCTCTGCTGTGACACCTACAGCTGCCATTCCTGCATGGTTAATATACTTTATTCTCTTATACAGTATGTCTAAAACCAGCCTTTTAAAACTGTAAATTCAGGGTTACATGTGTAGGTTTGTTATTTAGATAAACTTGTGTCATGGGGGTATGTTGTACAGATTATTTTGTCACCCAGGTATTAAGCCTAGTACCCATTAGTTATTTTTCCGGCTCTTCTCCTTCCTCCTACCCTCCTCCCTCCAGTAGACCCCAGTATCTGTTTTTCCTCTTTCTGTGTTCATGTGTTCTCATCATTTAGCTCCCACTTATTAGTGAGAAAATGTAGTATTTTGGGTTTTTGTTCCTGTGTGAGTTTGCTAAGGAAAATGGCTTCCAGCTCAGGACAATGGCTTCCAGCTCCATCCATGTTCCTAGAAAGGCTGCATAGTATTCCATGGTGTATATGTATCACATTTTATTTATCCAGTCTGAGCATTTATGTTGATTCCATGTCTTTGCTATTGTGAATAGTTTGCAACGAACGTATGTATGCATGTGTCTTTATGACAGAACGATTTATATTCCTTTAGGTATATACCCAGTAATGGGATTGCTGGGTCAAATGGTAGTTCTGTTTTTAGGTCTCTGAGGAATCGTCACACTGTTCTTCACAATGGTTGAACCAATTTACACTTCCACCAAAAATGTATAAGCATTCCTTTTTCTCCTCAGCCTTGCCAGCCTCTGTTATTTTTTGACTTTTTAATAATAGCCATTCTGACTGAATTAGATGGTGTCTCATTGTGGTTTTGATTTGCATTTCTCTAATGATCAGTGAGGATGAGCTTTTTTTGTTATGCTTATTGACCACATGTATGTCTTCTTTTGCAAAGTGTCTGTTCATATCCTTTGCCCACTTTTTAATGGGGTGATTTTTTTATTTTTTATTTTTTATTATTATTATACTTTAAGTTCTAGGGTACATGTGCATAATGTGCAGGTTTGTTACATATGTATACTTGTGCCATGTTGGTGTGCTGCACCCATCAACTCATCAGCACCCATCAACTCGTCATTTACATCAGGTATAACTCCCAATGCAATCCCTCCCTCCTCCCCCCTCCCCATGATAGGCCCCGGTGTGTGATGTCCCCCTTCCCGAGTCCAAGTGATCTCATTGTTCAGTCCCCACCTATGAGTGAGAACATGCGGTGTTTGGTTTTCTGTTCTTGTGATAGTTGCTAAGAATGACGGTCTCCAGCCGCATCCATGTCCCTACAAAGGACACAAACTCATCCTTTTTTATGGCTGCATAGTATTCCATGGTGTATATGTGCCACATTTTCTTAATCCAGTCTGTCACTGATGGACATTTGGGTTGATTCCAAGTCTTTGCTATTGTGAATAGTGCCGCAATAAACATACGTGTGCATGTGTCTTTATAGCAGCATAATTTATAATCCTTTGGGTATATCCCCAGTAATGGGATGGCTGGGTCATATGGTACTTCTAGTTCTAGATCCTTGAGGAATCGCCATACTGTTTTCCATAATGGTTGAACTAGTTTACAATCCCACCAACAGTGTAAAAGTGTTCCTGTTTCTCCACATCCTCTCCAGCACCTGTTGTTTCCTGACTTTTTCATGATCGCCATTCTAACTGGTGTGAGATGGTATCTCATTGTGGTTTTGATTTGCATTTCTCTGATGTCCAGTGATGATGAGCATTTTTTCATGTATCTGTTGGCTGTATGAATGTCTTCTTTTGAGAAATGTCTGTTCATATCCTTTGCCCACTTTTTGATGGGGTTGTTTTTTTCTTGTAAATTTGTTTGAGTTCTTTGTAGGTTCTGGATATTAGCCCTTTGTCAGATGAGTAGATTGCAAAAATTTTCTCAATGGGGTGATTTTATCTTTTGTAAATGTGTTTAATTTCCTTATAGATCTGGATATTAGACCTTTGTTGGATGTGTGCTTACAAAAATTTTCTCCCATTATGTAGATTGTCTGTTTACTCTGTTGTTTCTTTTGCTATGCAGAAGTTCTTAAGTTTAATTAGATCCCATTTTTCAATTTTTGCTTTTGTTGCAATTGCTTTCGATGTCTTCCTCATGTAGTCTTTGCCCATTCCTGTGTCCAGAATGGTATTGTCTAGGTTGTGTGAGGGTTTTTACAGTTCCGGGTTTTACATTTAAGTCCTTACATTTAATTCCATCTTGAGCTGATTTTTCATATATGGTGTAAGAAAGGGACCCAGATTCAATCTTCTGCATATGGCTAGCCAGTTATCCCAGCACCATTTATTGAATAGGGGTTCCTGTCCCTATTGCTTGTTTTTGTCAGCTTTGTTGAAAATGAAAGGTTGTAGGTGTGCTCCCTTATTTCCAGGCTTCTTATTCTGTTCCATTGGTCTATGTGTCTGTTTTTGTGCCAGTGCCATGCTGTTTTCTTACTGTAGAACTGTAGTGTAGTTTGAAGTTGGATGGTGTGATGCCTCCAGCATTGTTCTTTTCGCTTAGGATTGGCTTGGCTATTTGGGCTCTCGTTTGGTTCCAACTGAGTTGTAAAATAGTTTTTTCTAGTTCTGTGAAGAATGTCACTGGTAGTTTGATAGGAATAGCATTGACTCTATAAATTGCTTTGGGCAGTATGACCATTTTAACAATATTGATTCTTCCTGTCCACGAGCATGGAATGTTTTTCCATTTGTTTGTGTCATCTCTAATTTTAAAACCAGCCTTTAATCTTTTTCCCATAAGCAGCTCTCTCCTGGTCTTCTTTCCTAATTTCTATAACAATACTGTCATTTCCTTCACTGAACATGCTCAAAGTCTTGGAATTATGTTCAACCCCTCCCTTTTCCATTATCCCCACATCTAATAATTCTCCAGTGGTTCTTCACTTCTCTCCCTAATCCCATTGTCTGCCACCACTTTCAACCCTTAGAACTTTCCTTCTAATCTTTGCCATTGTTTCCTAATAGGCAACATTGCCCTTGGTCATGCCCCCTAGTTCTTCCATTTTTCACAGTACAAACAAATTAATCTTTCTTAAAACATGATTTTCATAGTGCACATTGCACTGTGTCCATGATGAGAAACTTTCAGTAGCTTCCCATTACATATAATGATGATGTCCACATTCCTCTGCCTGGCATTGAAGGCCTCTGACAACCCTCACAATCTAGCTTCAACCTATCTCCCTATTACCAAATATGCCAAGTGCCCCAATGAAGTATGTAGTCTACTTGTGATTCTCCTAAGTACAGCTCATATCTCCCTTTGATGAAATGCTGTTTTCTATTTTTTCCTTGTAACAGACTTACTGATCATTGCAGTCCCAGCTCAAGGGCTTCTTCCTTTGTGTGACTTTTCCTGAATTTTCAAACAGTAGGTGCCCTTTTACCTAGTTTGCAGGTTAACCCAAAAAGTCAGTTAAAATGGAGAACTGTAAACAAATCGTTTACTTAACAAATCCTTTAATATAACGTAAAACATAAATTTACATTCGTGTCAATCTTCTATGTAGGGCCAAACGCTTTGACTATGAAATTGGAACTCTTACTCGTCTTTCTTGTATCAGCCATAACCATGTTTCATATTAGTTTTGGTTTCCTTAAAGTTGAGCATGCCCTTAAAGATTCTTGCAAAGTAACTTGAATGTAAGAATCCTTCTAGTTTGTCTGATTCCCCCTACTACCCCAAACTTTTGCATTTGCTTTGTCTACACATGCCTTGCCAGAAGTTTTTAATGATTATCTTCTATTGAATTTTACTCATTTTTCCAAAATTGTTCAAAGAAACAACTCCTCTTCTATTTTATAGCTTTAAATAATATATGTAATTTCATAACAACTACAACTGGCATAAGCAAGTCTGGGAACAAAATTAACTGACTCTTGGTAAGCATACAACACAGCTGGATACAGTAGAAGTACATCCGTGTTTTTAAAAGTTCCATTTTATCCCTGAACGGCCATCATACTATGAGTTATATAGACAACAGAAAATACTGGTTAATCCTGCAAACTGGTTAAGTGTTAGTTAAGTGGTGATCAACCGAGAATTTTTATTGTAACACATTTGTTTTATTTAAGTATAATCATTTGTGTGCATTTTTCTACCAGTTTGTAAGCGCAGGATCTGTATTTATAGAGTAGATTCTTAGTAGAAATCTAGTGAAGGAATGGATGTTAGATAGATGGATAGCAATCACACCTATTTGCATACCTTCATATGTTTTCCTCCTCTTAAAATATAATTTCATTTTAAATTTCTGATTATTTGAATTATGTCCAATCTTCAAAGCCTACCCATGATTTCATTACCTCTATAAACTCCTTCCTAATCCCTTCAGTTAGAAAGTATATCTTATTTGACACATTTTGTGATGCCTTGTATTTTTTTAATTATCGTGTAGAGTTTCTATCTTTGCCTTTCTTAACTGAGGACCAAGACTATACTGTAACCTTACAATGTCATGCACATGGGTTATATCAAATGGATATTTAGTGATGTTCATTGAAAGTCTAAGAAGGTTACTTACTGGGGTGTGGAATTTGTGGTCAGATAAGCCCTATTAGAGTATAGTCATCCGTCAGTATCTCCGGGAGATTGGTTCCAGGACTCATGCAGATACCAAAATCTGCAAATACACAAGTTCATTATATAAAATGGTGCAGTATTTGCATATAACCTACACATATCCTCCTGTGTACTCTAAAACTCCTCTAGACTACTTATAATGCAATAAGAATACTATTTAAATAGTTGTTATACTGCATTGTTTACTATTTGTATTATTTTGTATTGCATTTTTTTCCTAAATATTTTCAGTCCATGGTTGGTTGAATCCTCAGATGTGGGAACTGTGGACATGGAAGGCTGACTGTATTTATTTTTTAAGAATTTCTTTGGATTGCAGATTTCAATAAAAAAATAGTAATTTGGCATTTACAGATAAGACATAATTCTAAGTAATTTGGCTATTAATGTTAAACAAATAGTAATTTCAAACCTTTGAGATTGTGACAAGGACAAATAGACCTGAGTTCAAATCATGACTTTGCCAATTACTAGTTCTGTCCTTGGAGAGATCGTATAATCTCTTTTAGCTCTAGTTTTCTTACTACTAAAATCTAAAAATAGAGATTTTTGGTTATTAGAGCTGTTTTGATGGCAAGCAGGTAATGTGAACATTACTGATAGAATACTTTCAAGAAATAAAGTTAGTCACAATACAAACTAGGACTTCCATGGCTTAGCACATGAAAAGTGTTTTGTTTCTGGAAAACAATGTAGATTATTAGACCAAAAAATTATAGTACAAATAAGAATCTTCACTGATATAATACCTCATTCCATTAGATTTTCTTTTTGGAGTTAGCAAGATTACTAGTGGAGTACCCATTGAAAGCTATTGCTCTTGCTTCGCATAGTGTTGTCAGTCTTGACTGTGGCTGCTTTTCCAGGAACAATTTTTGTTCTGCATCACCTTTTATTAACCTATTTGCATATGAATTTAAGATATATAAATGGCTTTGCCAAATGAAGTTGCACATGAAGGTTATCTATTTCTTTTCAGTGAGTCTGGCCTGCAGATTTCTTTGCCCAGACACATAAACATAAAATAATAAACCCTCTGTATTGAAGTTGAAGTATTGTCAATTTTATAAAAATACTCAGACTTGGTTTTTTCTTTGCAGTTGCCTCTCAAAAAAGAAGCTGTCATTCTTTCTAACAGTTTAAGTATAAGTGAGTGTCCCAGAATTGAATTTTTACAGCAAAAGCACAAAGATGAGAAGAAAAACTCTCTTAAGCATGAGCTCTTCAGACATGGTAAATACAAATATTCCATGTTTCTGAACTTTTAAGTTCTAAGTCTTCAAATTCATTAATTATCTTCATATCATTTATGATACTTGGTTTCATCAACCAAGGAGATGTTCTTCAAACCATTTTATTTCATATTTACCAGTGTAGTAATACATGACTTTCTCATCATTAATTTAGCCACACTTTTAACAGATACTTACTGAGTGATTATTATGTCAGCATTAAGAGGAACATTTGTTACTCAGATATTTAATTCAACTTTTCAAGGACATTTTTCACAGTCTGCTTTTGTTCATTATGTTGTCTCTCAAAAACTCAGCATATATATTACATATATAATATACATATTATATAACACAAACACACACCAAATTCACAGAAAAAAGAATTTGGCCCATATATGTGATAATTATATAATAATTATATAAAGTACTTTGGAAGGTAGGCCTGATTTGTCCTGAATCATCATAATGTAAGATGATAAGAAAACCTGGGTTTAGGTTAAAATTAGCTAAAGACAAATTGGAAAGTGTATGGATTGCTTTATAACTTGTAAGACAAATTTTTGACAACTTACTCATAGTTACTAGTACTTCATTTGCAGCTTGAATATGTAGAAATATAAGTACAGAAACCAATTTATAGTACACTTCTGGGAAAGATGCCCTGGTCCCACGGATTGGGTAAAAAGACTACAGCTTATCATGTCCTTCTTGCCTCACCCTCTTCCACTGCACATTCTTTAGTTCCACAAGTATTTATTGAATGCTTATTGTGTGTTAGGCACCGGAAGGGATACAGTCTATGCAAACTAGGCAGTTTCATCTTTATGGTGCTTATAAATATTAATAATCACAAATATAAAATCATAGTATCATATAGGAGCTATAAACATATAGTATTAATGCATAGTACCAAAGAATGTGTAATATGGAGAATAGATCAGGTCAGGGAGTAAGGAACACCTATTCTTTAGTCTCAACCATCCAACCTACTAAAGCAGGGTCTCCAACCCCTGGCCTCCGACTGGTTGCAGTTTGTGGCCTATTAGGAACCTGGCCACACAGCAGGAGGTGAGCAGGGGGCAAGTGAGCAAAGCTTCATCTTTATTTACAGCCACTCCCCATCATTCGCATTACCGCATGAGCTCCACCTCCTGTCACATCAGTGGCAGCATTAGATTCTTATAGGGGCGCAAACCCTATTGTGAACTGCACATGCGAGGGATCTGGGTTGTGTGCTCCTTATGAGAACCTAATGCCTCATAATATGTCACTTGTCTCCCATCACCCCCAGACGGGACCATCTAGATGCAGGAAAACAAGCTCAGGGCTCCCACTGATTCTACATTATGGTGAGTTGTATAATTATTTCATTATATGTTACAATGTAATAATAATAGAAATAAAGTACACAATAAATATAATACACTTGAATAATCCTGAAACCATCCTCCCATCCCCAGTCTGCGGGAAAATTGTCTTCCATGAAACCAGTCCCTGGTGCCAAAAAGGTTGGAGACCACGGTACTAAAGAAATTGTGTTAACTTAATTCTATAAGAATGACATTCTAGGTTCCAGAATGCTAAGGTGAATCATTCTGAACTAAACTATATGTGTTTTGCAGTTTTTTATTCAGTTAATAATAATTATAAAATTAAGCAGGTTATTTAGTCTAGAAGGAACACCTTAACTCCTTACTTGAAAAAAACCTTTCGTTCTTTATCATTCTTCTCCATTTTCATATTAAGAATACCTCATAATGTTCTGCTAGATCCTTCTGGAATGTTTTCCAAAACAATTAGGTTCTCCTAATTTACATTTTATATCTTGTACATAGTAAAAGCAAACAAAATTTATTTGAATGTTTTATGTGTTATGATTATAAATTATGTTTTTAGATTCTTGACTTTAGGATTTAATGAATCCTAAGGATCCTTAAGAATCTAAAGGGAAACGAAATGTTTATTCATTAAGTAGACATATATCGAGTGTCTCCTACCATCTAGGCTATGTGCTAGGTGCTACTGAACTTTTACCCAGTTAACAACAACAAAAATTTATTTTTAACTAAAAAAACCTTGCCAAATTAATGTGTTCTTTCCTCTTCCCTCTTCTGTAAAGCTTTGCTTGATATAATCACACACCACCTTATTTATAATCATTTCATTTATTCAATAAATATTTGTTGAGCATCTATTTTGGATCGAGCAATGTGCTATGCGCTATACAGTAGCAAACAAGACAGCCAGCATCTCTGTGTTTACAGAACATACATACAGATTAGTCTTTAAGCCAATAAAGAAGGTTATGTTGGAAAATTATTAAAGTTAATTATTCTTAAGAATTGCTTCTTTTTTTTATATTTAGGCATCCTCCTCATTACAAAAGTTTTCCTTGGCCAGAGTGCTCAGGCCCATGAAAAAGAATCCATCAGTCAATCCAACTACCCAATGGTTAATTCAGTGTTCATTCCTCGGAAATATTTACTAAGTATGTCTGTCATAAAGATTAATGTGGTTTCATTTCTCTGAATGAAAAATGTTTGTGTTTATTACGGATACTCACAGTTTTATTTCTACTTAACAAAGTTTGTAGAATTTTCTACAAAAATCTGTTACTAGCCACTAATAATTTTTATGTTTCCTACCTTAAAGACATTTATGTGTGGGTGTGGGTAGATAATCTGGCAAATTTTAATGTAATTATCTATTTGTGTGTGTGTGTGTGTGTGTTCATTTTCAAAGAATTAAAAAACCACCCAACTTTTAACAAGAGTTTTAGAGAAATACGTTTGTCAAAATTACATGGCCACACATGGAATAGAAAAGTTAAAAAGTATGAAAAGGAAAAGGATATGAATAAAATTAAGCACTACTAGTCTATGTAGTAAAAGGATGACTAGTAAATATTTATATAACTAAAAAGCTAGAGTGGAAAAGATGAAAGAAAAAATCCTCAATAATATAACTGTTGCAACTTACTGACTTTGTTATTTATTAAAAATGAAAGAAAAAATCTTCAGTAACATAACTGTTGCAACTTATTGAGTTTGTTGTTTATTAATCTATGTAAGAATGAAAAAGTATCTTTCAATTTGAGGCAATGTGTTTGCTTTGCTTCTTTTGTTTTTACTCTAGATTCTGTCATGGGACAAAGAAACTGTGATTGCAGTGTTCGGCAGTGCAAGTGGTTTGTCTTTGATCATGACCTTGTTTTGCCAGAATACGTTGTTGAATTTGAGTATATTACAATGGTATGAATTGTTACATATTTTTAAAGACTAGAATTCCTTAAATGGGAACAGAGTGGTAATTTGAAGTCAAATAATGCTATGTCAAGTTTATATTATGTGCCTGTGTGTATAATTGTTATTTTGTGAATAACTTAATTTTCAAAACAAGTCATTATGACAACTAATATTTTTTAGGCAAATAATCAAATGATTAATATATGGCTGTACTCTCACTGGAAAAGATTGAGTCTACTTTGAATATTCAAAATACATTGAAACTACATTGAAGAATAAACATGAACATTTTGCCCTCACTGCCTGCCATTCTCCTTCACCAGGGAATGCACTGTTAACAGTTTTATGGGTTTGCTTTCAATCCTTTTTCTATGCATTTGCATATATAATAACAGATGCCATTTGACATAGTAGAAATAAGGTCTAAGTATTCTGTGATTTTTTTTGCCTTTAACAGTATGTTTTGAACATATTTCCACTGTAGTACATATAGATGGGTATTTTATTATTTTGGTGGCTGTATATTATTCAGTAATACTAATTTATTTAACTAGTCCCCTGTTGATAGATTGTGTCCATATTTATTATTTAAAATAATATTTCAGTGAACATCATTGTGGATGTATCTTTATACAAATATGGAAGTTTCTCTACAGGATAGATTTGTAAAACTTGGAGAGTCAAAGGATATATGCATCTTAAATTTTGTTAGATTTTGCCAAATTCTCTCCACAAAGACTTGACTGTTTTACAAATTTCCAAGTGTGTTTGACAGTGCATGCCTCATTACATTTGCCAACACAAGATATTATCAGTCTCTTTTGGCCAGTATGGCAGGCAAAAAACAAGATATTTTATTCTTTCATATGCTTAAAGTTATTTAGAGTTGTATGAACCAACTGTTATATATTTTGACCATTTTCTATTAAACTCTGTCTTTCTTGTATTCATTGTGAAAATCCTTACATACATTCTGGATATTAGTACTTTATCTTAGCCCAGGCATGGTGGCTCACACCTATAATCCCAGGAGTTCAAGGTGAGAGGATTACTTGAGCCCAGGAGTTTGAGACTAGCCTGGGCAACATAGTGAGACCTTGTCTCTACAAAAAATTTTAAAAATTAAAAAAATTAAAAATCATTTATCTTATATATGTTGCAAATATTTTCTGTCACTTGCCTTTTAATTTTAATTGTAAGAAAAAACTTGTCATTTTAATTTGTAATTCACAAGTTAATTTTTAAGAGTTCAGCTCTCTCAATCTTATCCTGTATGGATTCTGAATTTTATGTCTTATTTCAAAAAGCCTGTAATAAATATTCTTTATTTTCTTACAATACTTACATAACTTGTTTTAAAGCCTTTAACTTTTTAAATCCATCTAGAAATTGTTTTATGGTGTGTGAGGTAGAAAAGTGGTCAATTTTTTAAATGAATAAATACTTATTTAGGCATTACTTTTTCTGCTCTATTTTGAAATACAATCTTTATATTAAAATTACTTGCATATATTAGGAATCTGTCTATATGAATCTATTCTGTTCCATCGAGCTCTTTCATCTAATTTTGGATCACTATCATATTTGTTTTGGTTATTACAAACTTCATATATCTTGATATGTGATAGGGCAAATCCCCTTCCTCTGTCCCCACTCATCTTTTTAAACTGTTTTTGACTATTCTTAAACAGTATCTTTTTCCAAATAAAATTTAGAACAGCTTGTCAAGCTCTATTTTAAAATCCTATTAAAATATGATTGAAATTATATTGAATTTAAAACTTAATTTGGTGTGAACTGACTACTTTGCAGTATTGGACTTCTTGTTCTAGGAACATGATAGTCTATCTACTCCATTTACTCAGGTCCTGTCTTACAGTTTTCTTTATATAGGTCTCCAACATTTCTTGTTAAGTTTAGTTCTGGGCATTTATATGTTATATTGCTATAATGAATAGGATTATATTAGTCAAGTATGCCTTTAGCAAAAGATACAGAAACCTAGACAAACAGTAAGCAGATAGAAGTTCATTTAACTCACATAACAAGTCAAGAGATGGGCAATACCTGGCAGTTGTGACCATTCAATGATGTCAGCAAAGACCTATCATCATCCTCCTGCTTGCCACTTTATGAGCTCTTTTGATGTGATGATTCCATTCTTTCTTCTCTTCTGGAAAGCTTGCTTCTCTTAGTTCCTTGGTTATTTCTTCTCTACCATTCTCTATTAGGCCCTCTGGAACACCCCTATTAGTTAAATATTGGATGTTCCTTCATGCCTTTTAATTTTTTCTCTTCTACTTTATACTCTATTTTTAAATTATTTGTTTTGAAATATTTTCTCAATCTTAGCTTCAGCATTGCTAATTTGATCTGCTACCATATCCACTTGTTTCTCAGGGTATTTACTAAATTTTTATTTTAATAATTGTTTTTATTTTAGCTTCAAAGTGTATGTCCTTTTCTTTTCCATAGCAGCTTATTCTTTTATCACAGATACTTTATTGTCCTAGATTTTTAAAAATTCTCTGATGAAGTATTTTCGTTTCTTCTAGAACCAGTTCTGTTTGTTTATGTGGCTCTTGCTCATTCATCCACAATTCTTATCATAATTACTGAATTACCTGATAATTAAGGTAACTAATTGCTCTTTGTTCAAGTTTCTCTGGATCTGATTTTAAAAGTGTTTATCTCCTGCATATTCTTTAGCCAGAGGTTACATTTCTGATCCTATTTACCTGTCAATTCAGTCCTTTCTGATTTATGTGTCACAATTTCTAGACCTTTGTAGGTACCCTCTTCACTGTTATGAAATATTTTAAAATTATCTTTTGCCAGTTTTAAGAAATTTTCAGTGGGTGGGAATAGATACACCATGCGTAGCCTACAATTTTAATCTGTTCTCATAGATGTCCTAATGTGATTCTGATAATCACAGATATGACTGTATAACTAAAAATGTCAACTCATCTTTTCTACATAGCCTGTTTGTTTTTTCAAAATGATAAATACAGCAACTGATTTTGCAATATTTTTAATACATTTTTTAGGTCAAGTCACCCTCTTTATTTTCTGTATTCAACAATGTTATTCTAGAAGAAAGTAAAAAAAACCCAGAAGGATCAGTATTTTCCAAGGATTTGAAATTTGATGATGAAGTTATAAAAATGGAGCCCAGAATCAAGGCCCGACCAAAACTGATTAGTTTGGATGATAAAACAATACTTTCCCTTGCAAAAACTAGCGTTTACAGTCATATTGTGGTGAGTATTGTGAGGAATACAGCTTTGAAACAGAAATCTTGAATTTGGAATCGGAATCTAGCATGTGAAGTCAAAAGATACTAAACTGCCTGTCTGATGATGCCAGGTACAATGCTACCTAAAGTGCCCATTTCTCTTTTTCTATATGGATTAAAACAGTGCTCTCTAGTAGTAATATAATGTGAACCACATATGTAATTTTTACTTCTCTAGTGGCTGTTTTTAAAAGTATTTTTAAAAAATAAAATTAATTTTAATAATACATTTTATTTAACTGAAATATCTTAGTTTGTTTTCTATTTCTAAAACAAAATACCACAGAGTGAGTAATTTATAAAGAAAATAAGTTTTTTTAGCTCATCGTTCTGGAGGCTGGGACATCCAAGAGCATGGTGCCTGCATCTGGTGAGGGCCTCTTGCAGTGTCATAAAATGGCAGTGGGCATCACATGGCAATAAGGCAAGAGCAACAGATCCAGGTAGAGCTGGTTTTATAACAAATTTTACTCCCAGGATAATAGACCCACTCCTCTGAAAGTGACATTGATCCATTCATGAAGGCAGAAGGATTAAGTTTCCAACACATGAACTTTTGGGGGACACATTCAAACTATAGCACTTGCATATCTAAAATATTAGCATGTTAACATGGAACCAGTATGAATATTCATTAATGAGGTAATTTCATCCTAACTCTTAATTCTGAAGTATATTTACACTCTGAGCACATTAAGACTAGTCACATTTCAAGTGCTCAATAGCCATTTGAGGTGGCCTTCCAATTAGCAAGGGATTTTATTCCTGAATAACCAGTCAGCTCTCTTTAATAAGATAAAGGCAGATAAGTTTTTAATAAGCTTCTAGAATTAATCAACGTAGAATATGGGATCTTTACAAAATTAATCAACAGAAATCAGGTTACTTATTAAAGTGACTTACTTTATGCTGAGACAATTCTATTGAGATATTAGACCTACTTCCATGTCTGACTTTTAGATGTGTTCATTTCAGATCTGCTGCTACCACTCTATCCAAACTACTACAATTTCTGACCTAGACTATTACCCCAGCCTTCCAACCAGACTCTCTGTACTCTACTATTGCAATATTGTACAACTCCAGAAGGCAAAATTCACATTATATTCTCTTTAGTGTACCCTCTGAGTGCCATTCATTATATAACTGAATAGAACTCAATATAAGGGGAGTAGGATGCCTCTAGAGTTATGCAACAGAGGCCCTGTCCTGTGTCTGTAAATGTGCAGTATAATAAGAGCAATCTTCTGGCTGACAGTACTGAGAAATTGTTATTTCTGCACTATAATATCTAGATTTACTATTTTAGTAAGAAATTAGTTTACCTGCATCAAAAACATCAATTTAGTGGAGGAAATAGATATGTGAACACATGTAGGAAGCACAGGGTTACTGGGAGAGATTTATAGAAAGAGGTGAGCTTTGAGTGGATTTCTGAAGGACATGAGAAATTTAGTTGTTTACATCTTCCAGACAGATAAAATATTCTTACCTGTAGAAACATGGTTTTGAAAGATCCAGATGTCTTCAGGGAACACTGAAAAATTTAGTATGCCAAGAATATAGTGTTACAGTGGTGGAGGGTAAAGATGTAGGTTGGAATTCAAGAAAGACACTTGAAGCCAGGGCTGGAAGAGTATGAGGTTGTAGCCAAATTAGGATGTATTTTGGAAACCAAATTTTAAAGTTTAGATTCTTGTGTTTAAGGAACAGACTCTCTTTAAAGACCCTAACTTTGATAGCTTATGAATGGAATTAACTGAAATCAGACTGGTGGTATAGAAATTCAGTAGAAAACTATTGCACTATCCAAAAGAAAAATCCATTCATTTCTTCTCTGGATAACCAGAAAACCAGCTGCACATTATATCACCACTAACACTGCCTAAGTCTGCTAAGGCACTGATAGTGGTGATATAATGGTGTGGCCTGTTTGAGAAACAGTTCTACAATCAAATGTATAAAGAAAAGAGGGAAAGGGGATGATCAACAGTATGTTAGATAGTGAAGCTCTGTATCAGACACATAGGGAAGATAAATTCAGTTGCGGACAGGTTAAATGTAAGGATTCTGTAGAATATATCATGGATGATACCCATATGTGACTTGTAAAATCACTAGTCTGCATAAATTGGCCCTTAACAATTTTAGCTAATTTTGACAGCTATTAGAAATTTAATTGTTTCTCCCTTCTAGGAATTTTGTTATGTCCACAATATAAGGCATAATGGTGGTGGTGAATGAAGACAGCTGGGAGATAGATACTTGATACTGTAGTCAAGTTGCATTAATACATTTTCTTGTACCCTTGTTTATTTTGTGAGCTATACATGAATACAGTCTTCACTTGATATCACTCATAATGGTATAAAGACAGAAAACCATATAGGCATCAGGATCTCTCCTTTAGTATAAATGTATAATAACATTTGTTTTTATATAGCCTAGAATGAAATAGACAAGAAAAGTCTGGGCCAAATTCTGATATAGGTGTTGTCTTAAACAATTTCCCACCTCCTCCTTTGACCTTCTGTCCTCCTACTTCAACACCCTCAGCCTTTCTTCTTTGGTTTGGTGCCCTCATACATTTTCCTGCTATCTCTCTTCCATGAGGTATCCTACCTGATACCCCAAATTTTTATGGTCTCCATTGTTCACTGGTTAGCCTGAGAAATAGATCTACCCTAATAAATATCTTAACACATATATTTGTTTTCTAAAAAGAATTTCATGCCAATTGCTGATAAACTTAGACCAAGTGAGAAATCATATTAATCAAGAACCAGGTCTAGTGATACTATTACAAACTATCTTTTAACATGATAGATTTTTTTCTTTTTGACAGTTTCTTAATGTTATTTAAAATAACATATATTTTGTAGTATACTGACTCAAATAATTGTTCTAAACATTTTAGATATCCACACTTCAGTTTGATGTAGAACGTAAACTGTATTATTTTTTAATGTATATTTTATTTTACTTCAGAGTCTGAATCTACATGGAAACAGCTTGAGTAAATTGAGAGATCTCTCCAAGTTAACAGGACTTCGAAAACTAAATATTAGCTTTAATGAATTTACCTGTTTAGATGATGTATACCACTTGGTAAGAACTGTTCCTTGGAATCTAAAAAAATGAAACTCATAGAAGCAGAAAGTAGAATGGTGGTTATCAGGGTCTAAGGGCTAGGGGAAATGGGGAGATATTGGTCAAAGGGTATAAACTTTTAGTATAAATTAGACAAGTTCTAGGTATCTAATGCACAGCAAGGGTGGTGATGGATGTGTTAATTTGATTGCGGTAATCATTACACAGCTATATAAAATCATTACATTATACACCTTGAACGTCTGCCAATTTAATTTTTTTTTTCATTATTATACTTTAAGTTCTAGGGTACATGTGCACAATGTGCAGGTTTGTTACATATGTATATATGTGCCATGTTGGTGTGTTGCACCCATTAACTGGTCATTTACATTAGGTATATCTCCTAATGCTATCCCTCCCCCCACCCCCTCCCCACAATAGGCCCTGGTGTGTGATGTTCCCCTTCCTGTGTCCAAGTGATCTTATTTTCAATTCCCACCTATGAGTGAGAACATGCGGTGTTTGGTTTTCTGTTCTTGTGACAGTTTGCTGAGAATGATGGTTTCCAGCTGCATCCATGTCCCTACAAAGGACACGAACTCATACTTTTTTATGGCTGCATAGTATTCCTGACGTATATGTGCCACATTTTCTTAATCCAGTCTGTCACTGATGGACATTTGGGTTGATTCCAAGCCTTTGCTATTGTGAATAGTGCTGCAATAAACATATATGTGCATGTGTCTTTATAGCAGCATAATTTATAATCCTTTGGGTATATCCCCAGTAATGGGATGGCTGGGTCAAATGGTACATCTAGTTCTAGATCCTTGAGGAATCGCCACACTGTTTTCCACAATGGTTGAACTAGTTTACAGTCCACACCCCGACAGTGTTAAAAGTGTTCCTGTTCTCCACATCCTCTCAGCACCTGTTGTTTCCTGATTTTGTAATGATTGACATTCTAAGTGGTGTGAGGAGTGGTATCTACATTGTAGTTTTGATTTGCATTTCTCTGATGGCCAGTGATGATGAGCATTTTTTCATGTATGTGTTGCCTGTATGAATGTCTTCTTTTGAGAAATGTCTGTTCATATCCTTTGCCCACTTTTTGATGGGGTTGTTTGTTTTCTTGTAAATTTGTTTGAGTTCTTTGTAGGTTCTGGATATTAGCCATATCCAGATGGTAGGTGCAAAAATTTTCTCCCATTCTGTAGGTTGCCTGTTCACTCTGATGGTAGTTTGTGCTGTGCAAGAAGCTCTTTAGTTTAATTAGATCCCATTTGTCAATTTTAGCTTTTGCTGCCGTTGCTTTTGGTGTTTTAGACATGAAGTCTTTGCCCATGTATGCACCCTGAATAGGTACTACCTAGGTTTTCTTCTAGGATTTTTTATGGTGTGGGTCTAACATTTAAGAGTCTCAATCCATCTTGAATTAATTTTCATTATAAGGAGTAAAGAAGGATCGAAAGTTCAACTTTCTACTTATGGCTAGTCAATTCCAACACCATTTATTAAATAGAGGGAATCCTTTCCCCATTTTCTTGTTCTCCTCAGGTTTGTCAAAGATCAGATGGCTGTGGAGTACGTGTGGTATTATTTTTAAGGACTCTGTTCTGTTCCATTGATCCTATATCTCTGTTTTGGTACCAGTACCATGCTGTTTTAGTTACTGTAGCCTTGTATTATAGTTGGGAGTCAGGTAGCGTGATGCCTCCAGCTTTGTTCTTTTGACTTAGGATTGTCTTAGAGATGCAGGCTCTTTTTTGGTTCCATATGAACTTTAAAGCAGTTTTCTTCCAATTCTGTGAAAGCTCTATTGGTACCTTGATGGGGATGGCACTGGATCTATAAATAACCTTAAGAGCAGTTTGGCCATTTCCATGATCAATGGTTACTTCCTATCCATGAGCATGGTATGTTCTTCCATTTGTTTGTGTCCTCTTTATTTCACTGAGCAGTGGTTTGTAGTTCTCCTTGAAGAGGTCCTTTACATCCCTTGTAAAGTTGGATTCTAGATATTTTATTGTCTTTAGCGATTGTGAATGGAAGTTCATTCCTGATTTGGCTCTCTGTTTGTCTGTTACTGGTGTATAAGAATGCTTTTGATTTTTGCACATTAATTTTGTATCCTGAGACTTTGCTGAGGTTGCTTATCAGCTTAAGAATTTTCCCAGGCTGAGACAATGGGGTTTTCTAAATATACAATCATGTCATCTGCAAGAGGGACAATTTGACTTCTTCTTTTCCTAACTGAACACCCTTGATTTCTTTCTCTTGCCTGATTGCCCTAGCCAGAACTTCCAACACTATGTTGAATAGGAGTGGTGACAGAGGCATCCTGTCTTCTGCCAGTTTTCAAGGAATTTTTCCAGTTTTGCCCATTCAGTATGATATTGGCTGTGGGTTTGTCATAAATAGCTCTTATTATTTTTGATGCGTTCCACCAATACCAGAATTTATTGAAGCGTTTTTAGCATGAAGAGCTGTTGAATTTTGTCAAAAACCACCTGCATCTATTGAAATAATCATGTGGTTTTTTGTCTTTGGTTCTGTTTATATGCTGGATTATGTTTATTAGTTGCATATATTGGGTATGCTTACTATCGGATGACCCTTGATCATGCTGGTCGCTTTGATGCTGCTGAATCCGGTTTGCGATATTTTATTGAGATTACATGCATCGTGTTCATCAGGGATATTGGTGCCGTCTCTTTTTGTTGTGTCACTGCCGAAGGCTTTGGTATCAGGATGCTGTTGGCCTCTGAAATGAGTTAGGGAGATTCCCTCTTTTTCTATGAATTGAATAGTTTCGGAAGGAATGGTACCAGCTCTCCTTGTACCTCTGGTAGAATTCAGCTGTGAATCCATCTGGTCCTGGCCTTTTTGGTTGGTAAGCTATTAATTGTGCCTCAATTTCAGAAACCTGCCTATTGGTCTATTCAGGATTCAACTTCTTCTGGATTAGTCTTGGAAGAGTGTAAGTGTCAGTATCCATTTCTTCTAGATTTTCTAGTTTATTTAGTAAGTGTTTATAGTATTCTCTGATGGTAGTTTGTATTTCTGTGGGGTCGGTGGTGATATCCTTTTATCATTTTTATTGTGTCTATTTGATTCTTCTCTCTTTTCTTCTTTATTAGTCTTGCTAGCCGTCTGTCAATTTTGTTGATCTTTTCAAAAAACCAACTCCTGGATTCACATTGATTTTTGGAGGTTTTTTTGTGTCTCTATCTCCTTCAGTTCTACTCTGATCTTGGTTATTTCTTGCCTTCTACTAGCTTTTGAATGTGTTTGCTCTTGCTTCTCTAGTTCTTTTAATTGTGATGTTAGAGGGTCAATTTTAGATCTTTCCTGCTTTCTCTTGTGGAGGCATTTGAGTGCTATACATTTCCCCTCTACACACTGCTTTAAATGTGTCCCAGAGATTCTGTGTATTTATCTTTGTTCTCATTGGTTTCAAAAGAACATCTGTATTTCTGCCTTCATTCGTTATGTACCCAGTAGTCATTCAGGAGTGGGTTGTTCAGTTTCCATGTAGTTGAGTGGTTTTGATAGAGTTTCTTAGTCTAGTTCTAGTTGATTACACTGTATGTAGTCTGAAAACAGTTGTTATGGAATTTTCTGTTCTTTTTACATTTGCTGAGGAGTGCTTTTACTTCCAATTATGTGGTCAATTTTGGAATAAGTGCAATGTGGTGCTGAAAAGAATGTATATTCTGTTGATTTGGGGTGGAGAGTTGTGTAGATGTCTATTAGGTCTGCTTGCTGCAGAGATGAGTTCAGTCCCTGGATATCCTTGTTAACTTTCTGTCTCTTTGATCTGTCTAATGTTGACAGTGGAGTGTTGAATTCTCCCATTATTATTGTATGGGAGTCAAGTCTCTTTGTAAGTCTCTAAGGACTTGCTTTATGAATCTGGGTACTCTGTACTGAGTGCATATATATTTGAGATAGTTATCTCTTCCTGATGAATTGATCCCTTTACCATTATGTAATGGCCTTCTTTGTCTCTTTTGATCTTTGATGGTTTAAATTATTTGTCAGAGACAGTATTGCAACCCTGCTTTTTTTGTTCTCCATTTGCTTGGTAAATGCTTCCTCCATCCCTTTATTTTGAACCTATGTATGTCTCTGCATGTGAGATGGAGTCTCCTTAATACAGCAGAGTGATGGGTCTTGACTCTTTATCCAATTTGCCAGTCTGTGTCTTTTAATTGGAGCATTTAGTCCATTTACATTTAAGGTTAATATTGTTATGTGTGAACTTGATCCTGCCATTATGATATTAACTTCAGAAGTTATTTCTGCTCGTTAGTTGATGCAGTTTATTCCTAGCCTCAATGGTCTTTACATTTTGGCATGTTTTGCAATAGCCCCCAATTGCAGTTGTTCCTTTCCATGTTTCCATGTTTAGTGCTTCCTTCAGGGTCTCTTGTAAGGCAGGCCTAGTGGTGACAAAATCTCTAAGCATTTGCTTATCTGTAAAGGATTTTATTTCCCCTTCACTTATGAAACTTAGTTTGGCTGGATATGAAATTCTGGGTTGAAAATTCTTTTCTTTAAGAATGTTGAATATTGGCCCCCACTCTCTTCTGGCTTGTAGAGTTTCTGCTGAGAGATCTGCTGTTAGTCTGATGGGCTTCCCTTTGTGGGTAACCCGACCTTTCTCTCTGGCTGCCCTTGAGATTTTTTCCTTCATTTCAACTTTGGTGAATCTGGCAATTATGTGTCTTGGAGTTGCTCTTCTTGAGGAGTATCTTTGTGGTGTTCTCTATATTTCCTGGATTTGAATGTTGGCCTGCCCTACTAGGTTGGGGAAGTTCTCCTGGATGATATCCTGCAGAGTGTTTTCCAACTTGGTTCCATTTTCCCCGTCACTTTCAGGCACACCAATCAGACGTAGATTTGGTCTTTTCACATAATCCCATACTTCTTGCAGGCTTTGTTTATTTCTTTTTCTTCTTTTTTCTTTTGGTTTCTCTTCTCGCTTCATTTCATTCATTTGATCCTCAATC